AAACACGGCATGCAGATAAGCTACTGCGATACTTAGCCTAAGAATTAAAAAAAAAGAAGGAAAAATAAAAAAGATTAAACAAGGGGGGGCGTGTAAGACCGAAAAAAAAAAATTAAGGACGGAACCAACTTTTTACCAAGGCCATAGCGACGGTAAAAACAAGTGTGAGCCAGCCCAGCCCAGCCCAGTTCAAAGTGTGTGTGCGTGTCCAGAGTGTGTGTGACGCCGTTGCGGATGGACAAGGGGGTGTCCCGGCAGCACCAGCGCTAGGAGAATTTAGCCGCTGTTGTCAAAGGACGAGAGAAAGAGAGAGATTGCTGCAAACCTGCGGACATTGCATGGGCTTCCTCCGGCCTATGCTTTTTTAGCGACCGGTCGAGAAATATGTATGTTGGTAGTTGGTTTATTTCTTCCGAAACGAGGAATCTGCAGGGTGCAGAAGTGACCATTTTTTTGATAGGTAGCTTGCGGATAAGGCACCTACATGAATGGAACTTGACTTGTGCGGTTTCTCGGCCGAGCCCCCGACTTTTGGTCTGTGGTGTGAGACTTAGGCCAAGCAGGCTGAGACGGGTGTGAACATTGTTAAATGGGGATTTTTTGGGGTTGCACAAACATTCGGGTTCTTTTTTTAACCTGGTTCTTTTTTGTACGACGTGAGGTGACTACAACCACACTCACAGACATGAGGCGTTGACGGTGGAATGTACAAAGACGAGGCCTTGGTTTAACGGGTAGGGCTTTTGTCTAGAACATTGTAAGGAATTGCAAAGCCATCTTTAATCTAATATTTCAACGTAGGCGTGCTTCAGAGCACAGCGAGCAACAAGGCTGTGGCAATCGTGATCTGATCTACGGATACGGCAGTACGGATATACGGGTAGAACAATAGACGAGCTGCAACCACTATAACCTTACCTCCAACCCCTTCCCCTACCATTTCGATGTGCGTACTTTTCCCTCCCCATCACATGTAGCAACCACCAAGCCCATGACGTGAAGTAAAAACTCGCATCTATCCCAAGGCGAGCCTAGCATCAATTCCATGGCCCAAAATCCCGACGGCGCGGTTCACACACGGACGGACGGGGCCGAGCCCACTTGCTAGCACCCCTAAAAAAAAGTAAACCAGGGGGGGTCGTCACAAGCACCGTTGGAAAAAAAAAAAAACCGGCCCCGTGAGGCACAGACGCTTGCTTGCACCAAACAAGACCTGGGATCCATGGTCGCGCACGCCCGGCTTTTATCTTGTTGTGGTTACGGCGTGGTAAGGTGCCTTGCAAGGGGCGTGCCCGGGTTTTTGTTGGCTCGTGTTGGGATCAGAGTTATGAGGGTCTTTGAACCGAGCTTGTTTGGGTTGGCATGGAGGTCTTGTTTAAAGTCAAAGCGGATTGTAATACCTGTAGTGTGGTGCCTTGATTACGGCTTGACCACCGAAAGGTATCCATATACTACTAATAGCCGTATAAGGCGTTGTTGAATTTCAGCATTGAGCGATTTCATGCCACCAACTTGGGTCAGGGCAACATAGCCTTGTAACAGTTTGCAACAAACGGTTATTCCATATCAAAAGCATCAGCTGCAAAACGTTTCAATATGCGGCTGTAGTCCGAATAAACATGAGGCGGCAGAGGCATGCAGGGGGCCATGCGGCTCATGACCGTTTGACCTGCAGCCATGCAAAAGGGATAAATCTCTCATCTCTACCGGGTGCCGATTCCAAACGGTGAATTGCCCCTTTGAGGGTTGGAAAGCCGTTGCAAATTGGATGATGCAAGTAAAACGGCCCCGGGGGGAGTGTGCATTGTTCGGCATCGCCTTGAGATAGAGTTGATGCCTCTTACCTACAGTTTGGTAGGTACATGATGGATCTCATACTGTGCTCTTCTCACTGTATTTGGTAATAGAAATGATGCACTTGTCATGTATTTCAATTAAAGGTTCTTGGTACTGACAGGAGACGATTATCTGCATGCGTGTCGGATCATCACCACCAAGCCAAGGCCGCGTGAGGTCAAACAACTGGAAATTGGTAAAGGCCCTGTGACTTGGTCTCAATTTTTTTATGCGATAAAAGTATTGGAAGTTTTGTCTCATTTAATACATCACCTTTATTATCTCGCCAAAATCCGTCATTCGATCCTGTTGGGATGTTGATGACGTCTCTGTGTTGGCGCCTTTCTGCATGTTTTGCCAACCCCGCCACGCCATCGTCAAAGAACGAGAGGAATATAATAACACTCGAGAGGAGTATGGTAACCCTCTTGATGTTCTGGTGTCTTATTACTTCTTGGCCCGCGAGCCAACCCTCTTTACTCTATTTCGACCTCCGAAAAAGTATTCTTGTCGAGAACGCAACCATCTTGACTTCCAGAAAACTGCCTTCCTCACTTTTTCGCAGGGCCGTCTTTGGATATAGAGGACTGTTATAACATGACTCCCCACGCGGGTGAAGAAATAAATGAGACGTAGGAACGGTAAAGAGGTAATCCAAGTCGACTTAAATATTAGAGGCAAGTTTATAAAAAGATCAAATAATTAGGAAAGAGGCTCCTCATTAAACATATAATTTGTATAAACGTTTGCCTTCTTTCAGGGAGACTTGCCAATGCTACTGTCCCTAGTCGTTCCATGAGACGAGATCACGCTGTCTTCCAGACTCATCCAGGTCCACGATCTCTGGCGCCCACTCGCCGCGTTCGTCTTCAGCAGCAAGATCTACCACTTCAAGCTCCACCTGTTCTCCATCCTCCATCATGACATTACCGCGGCGAAGGTAGGCGCCCCGGAGATCCCAATCTAGCGAGCCAGCAACAAATGCCTCAAGCCCTGCAAAGGCAGTGCCGACATCAAGTTGCTCGGGGGTGGCTTGTGCTCCGAGACCAAGGAGGAGTTCATCGAGACGCCGTTTGTAGACTGTAAGCGCGAGACGCAACTCGCGGGTTTGCGGCTCGGAATAGTCAAGAATAGAGCCATCAAGCCAAGACGCACTGTAAGATAGCTGAGCAGTGAGGCTGCGGACGAAGGCAGCGGCAAGGTCCGGTCGACGGGCGGGGAGGATATAAGCTCGGAGGAATAACTTGAGCAGCATATGCCACCACTGTTGGATGCACGAGTCATTCCCAAGGTGCATCCCCACGACGTAGGAGAATTGAAACTCGCCAACAATATCATCGGGGGCAATATTATTGTTGTCAATGAGCGACAAAATGTAGGGTGTTGCGTCTGTAGCTTCCAGTGTCCGATCAGCGCCGGTATTATCGGTCGAGTATGTCTTGGACCGCTGGCCAAAGATGAAGTTCAGATCGCGAGCTTTGAGAAGCGGGTTGGATATCGATTCATCGAGCTCTATCTCTGCGGCCATGAGTATTGAGCCCTTGACGCGGTCACCCGTGTGGACCGCCCAGTTGTCAGGATGCTGCCCCGTGACACGGTTGAGGACATCCTTGGTAATTCTGCCTGTCAACTGCTCCCACATCTTGAGGTTCTTTTCCGAAGAAGCCTGTGAAAGGTCTCCACTTGCTGCGTTGACAGCGCTGGGATCATGATAAGGGGCAAGCTTGGAGTGGATTGTGTCGAGGCTGTCTGCCTGGATACGTGCCTCAGCCCGAGCAGAGTCACCGAGAACTTCGTTGAATCTGTCCCATTGCAAGACGTGAACGGTGTTCACGGCAGTGGTGACGATCCAGATGCCACATCGGGTAGAGATACCTCCTGGGTGAGCAACCCAGAAGAAGTGAGGACCTGGTGGTATATCTCTGACGCCACCGAAATGCTTTGCTGTGAAAGACAGAGAATCATATCCGACGGTAAAGACTTCGGGTAGGTCGAGGATGAGGACCACGTCGCCACCACCCAAGTTGTGCGTCAGTGGCTCGGGACCAAGAAACGACTTGAACGAGCTCCCCTTAGATGGCTTGTGGATGGAGCTGCCACCATCCTCGCTCTGTCCAGCCGGAGGGTCGAGGGGTGGTGGGAGGTCGTCGTCTTCTTCCACATGAACCTCATCCGCAGGCTGATGCACATGAAGCGATCCCAGAGGATGCGAACCGACAACTGAAACCGATTTGACAGAACGACTGCCAACGGAGGCGTTGGAGTCTGATTTTGTCAAGCCCTTGCGGATGGGCAATGTCGGCGGGGCGTCACCCTCCATCTCAACGTCGCAGGCCAATGTCGCAGACGGGGTAGATGCTACGTGCAGAGAAGAAAAGATAGTGAAGTTATGTTATCGATGTATTTAACCTAACAGACTGGATTTCTCCGATGATAGGCGATTTGGTAGGTGCTTGCGAGGTGGTAAAGGTGTGGTTGAAGGTGGTCTTTGTTGGAGAGTGACGTTATGGCGGGCAGGCGGTCGTAAAAAAAAGTGAGACAGCGAAAGGGTTAACTGTGTAACATAACAATAAGAAAACCAGGTGATAAATAAAGAAAATAATTATTATAATCACTTTCTAATGTCATTAAATTACTCATGGTGTTTTAGAATTCTTGGGGCTTAGATTTAGTTGTTTTCTCTACTAATGAGAGACGCTTAGTTCAGTGTTTCATGTGCTTTTCTTGGCCTGGGCGGTTGGATCCTGGGCATCGATGTTGTTCTATGTGAGCTAATAGGCCGGTGAAAGGGGAATAATACACAAAAAGCCATTGCTTTGGGTAAAGCTAGGAGCTTGGGATGGATAGGGAAAAGTTGGTCGGGGGAACTCGAGCATCTCAAAACTAAAGCAGAGAATAATGATAGTGGCAGTCGCTTGTTTTGAACCATTGTCCATCAATTCCTATTGCTCAAGCCTAGGCTCAGGCTTGTTGCTCTGCTCCTGCTCAAGGCAACAGAGTGAAGCCCTGAGAGGCTGAAACAGAAGCAGAAGACAATCAAACACAATCCCTACCCTCCAGAGCATCAGTGCACAAGGCAATCCCGCACACGGCAATCCAGCATACGGCATCTAAACGCGTCACAGGAAAATTGCAGGAAACAGAAAGCCTAATATCGGAGCGTGTCCAGTGAACAAGACAATTCATTGAGCACGTCACAGTCTCTTGCAGTGCGAGCCCGGTCGTTAACTTGTAAGATTTCATTTGCCTGCCAGATCCTTTACAATCCGTCAAAAGCAAGGCCATGCAAATGCCAATGGGAAACCCATTCCCATACCAGGGAATATTTGACTCCAGTCCCTTTTCCGCACTGCCCGTAGTATCCTCCACTGCAACAACGCTCCGACCTCCCCCGAGTTTTTGTCCCCATTCCGAGCAACAACCGTTGTTTAACGGTAAGACTTCTGGAAGCGGGAGCGGGCGCCCTTACCACCAAACTTCTTGGGCTCGCAGCGGCGGTTGTCGGCGACGAGGAGGGTTCGGTCGAACTGGACGAGGGCCTGCTTGAGGAGGTTCTTGGAGTGCTCGTCGACAAACTTCTGGTAGTAGGCGATGAGGGACTTGGCGATGGCTTGACGGATGGCGTAGATCTGCGAGGTGTGACCACCACCGGTGACGCGGACACGGATGTCGACGTTGGCGAACTTGTCAAGACCGACAACCAGGAGGGGCTCGTAGACCTATTGAGCAGAGTCTCAGCATTTTGTTCGTTTCCCACAAGTCCACATTCACCGCGTTTCCGAGACTTTGTTCCAATCGTCTTTTTCGAACTCGAGGATGGGGACGTAGATCGTAGGAGAGGGCTCAGAATCGTACCTTGAAGCGCAAGATCTCGGGCTGGACGAGCTGCAGAGGACGGCCGTTGACCTTGATCAGACCACGGCCGGTCTATTTCTCACAAAAAAGGGACATGTTAGCCTTGGTGATCTCTCCCAACTCTCAGCATTTCGCCATTCCCACGAACCTTGCAGTGGGCGACGGCGGTGGCCGTCTTCTTCTTGCCGAAGCATTGCACGCTCTGCGTCGTCGACATGATTGCTGATTGTCTGGTTGCCGGGAGGGTGCTGTGAGGTTAACGAGCTGCGGGACGTGTTGCAACAGATGGTCTAGCTCGCCTGTCGATTTTTGCAGAAGAGAGGGTTTGTGCCCTCGAAAGACGCTATGCCACTTTGAGTGGGTCTCTGCTGGGCGGCGCACCAAAAATTGGCAGGGGGGGTTCACGCTTGTGGAGGCACGAAAAAATTCCTCCGCACGTGATGGAAACCCTAACTGTGCCCTTGAAACTTAGCGCTCCCAATTTGACGTTTGCCAAAAATTCGCCTCGCCAGATCCTCACGCCGGACACTATCACAGCCATCCAGCCCGTCGACTAACCCGCAGTGTCAAGGTATGCGATCACGACCTCATCGATCAAGCATCCAGAAGTACTGACATATTTTATCAAGATGGTTTCCGCCAAGAAGCACGTCCCCATCGTGAAGAAGCGTATGTACCGCCCACCCGAGATGCCCTTCGACGACTGCCCGACGACGAATTTTGGAGAAGAACGATGAAGATTTTTTCGGGTCGATTGGGAATAGAGATGTTGACTCGTGTGTGTGTGCAGGCACGAAGCGCTTCGAACGTCACCAGAGTGACCGGTTCAAGTGCGTGGACCCCAGCTGGCGCAAGCCCAAGGGTATCGACAGCCGTGTCCGACGACGCTTCCGCGGTACCATTGCCATGCCCTCTGTACGTGCAACCTCTCCGAGACGGACAGAGAAGAGACTCTTGTCTGGTGGATGAATGGATGGACATGGTGCTGATACTTGCGACTACAGATTGGCTATGGCTCCAACAAGAAGACCCGCTACCTGACCCCCTCCGGCCACAAGGCCTTCCTCGTCAGCAACGTCCAGGACGTTGAGCTTCTCCTCATGCACAACCGAACCCACGCTGCCGAGTACGTCCCCGACACTTCTGTAACCCAAGAGACCATCACTGACAAGATACAGGATCGCCCACAACGTCTCGTCGAGGAAGCGAATTACCATCATCGCCCGCGCGAAGCAACTAGGCGTCAAGGTCACGAACCCCAAGGCGAAGGTCACCACCGAGGTTTAAAAGGGAAATTAGGGTCGGTTTTTGGGCTGCTTTACGGGGTTATGCATTCGGAAAGGGGTTTGCGTTGCCTTGCGGTTTCTGGCATATACCTTTCATGCTAGAGAAATAAAAACGCGCCGTTGAACGACAATTCAAGCCAACACTAGCATCATCCGCTTGACAAAGACGACGACTATTTTCCCTTCCCTTCCCTTCGGAAAGTCTTGAACTGATTAAGGCGCTAAGGAGGGGCGTGGTGAAGGCTGGTGTGATTGCGGATGAGGCCATGAAAATAGATACAATCCCTCCATGGGCCATTTCTTGTTACTGTGTTGTCTGTCCTTTGCATGAAAATGATTGTGAGAGTATGTGTCCTCGCCATCTGTTCATCATAGTTGAGTGCCTTGAAGTAAGTGGCTGACGATGTTGTCTGCAAGGGCCCAACATTGCAGAGGTCGACCTTGGTGCATTGGAGGCTTGGTCTCTCTAGAACAAGGCAATGGCGTTGCTCTTCATCTTGTATGATGCTATCAAAGGAGATCAACGCTGCGATGCCATTCATTTTGCATGTACCTAGGTACTCTTCCAGGCCCACACGATTCTAGGTTCGACTTGTGACTCTTCTATACCGCTTCTATGCATCACGACTCAGCTGAAAGTTATCGTGAATCTCTAATGATGGTTCATGGGCAGATTATACCTTTTTAAAAACGCAAATACGTACACGGGTGCTAAGCACTCTGCCCTGATAACCTCGCAATGGCGGGCGGTTGCCAGCTGGCCTGCACTTGCACCGCCAAAGCCTGGCCACAGGTTTCTATTAAGCCTTCTCATGCAGGTAGGAGCACTCGTACAGTTGAGTTTTCTGATTGCGTCCCATGATTCCTCTTCTCGGGCAAATTCAGAAAAGCTCCCGCGCCTGTTTGTAAAACAATCTGTCCTTTTTGTTCATGTACTTGACTTTTCAAAGCAGTTTTCTTTAATACCGCAGCGGTTGTTTCTCTTCCTTCTGTTTAATTATCACGAACCGTTCCTAGAGCACCCACCTACCTATGTGAGGCTCAGTTCTCCTCACCCAATTCTTCGCCATGGCGTTTCATCAGAGGCATACGCATGAGAGATCCGAGGCGTTTAGGCCGTCTTGTACGCACACGACCATGACTCGGGTCTACGAAAAAGATTCAGTGTGCTGCTCGTGTCGTCAGTCTGGCCAGTTTGGCTGGCTGTATCGATGTACGCAGGATATCGAGCAGATCATTGATATTGGACCTGTAAGTGCCCACCTGATTACGGGAATCACAGAGACTCGAGACTTTTGCTGATTGAACTATAGCCAGAATTAGATCCCTCAAATCCCGACTCGATAAATGCCATAGGGACCCGAAAGGGTGACAAATTGAGCTCTGGCGACATGACTGTCGAAGAGATGGCCAAGTACACGCCTGAACACGTTGGGATCATCTCTAGACAGCGGAAAGAGGTGAGAAGAAACCGCATCAACTTTGGCCATCTGACTTACTTGGTTGATATCACAGGTCAGGAACATGATTGCCAGGGAGAATCTCAAAAGAAGCAGCAACGCCCTCTTCAACACTACTCGCCCACCTCCTGGCTTCGAGTCCTATACGAACGATAGCATATACGCAGGACAGTGGAGCTGCGGCGAGACGCAAATCTGCCAGTACAGAGTATGTCCGTGGTGCCGGCCTGCAGTCGCCGATCGAGCCTTTCTCGACATGGGTGCCATTGCAGATGGTCAACTGCCTCTGACAGCAGCCATTGGTTTTGGCTTTAAGGAGATTGGAGGCAAGCCTGTCGTCTCCTCCGAGGTTGTGAAGCGGATCGGCCAGAGGGGCCCACCGCAGGGGACTTTCACGGTGATTCTTGGTGGGGATGTTCCAGAATGAACGAAAGCTGACTTATTTGTAGCCACCTGAGAGTCCTCCAGATGATGATGCTTACTTGAATGAGTATCTCCTGCTCATGCTCGATAACAAGGTCGCAAGTTTTCGTGAGGAGAGGCCACAGCGACCTCAACGCCGGACAAAAGACGATTTGTATACCCTCAAGCCGTCAAGACATTTCCAAGCTGTCAAGAGTGACTCGGGGAGAATGAAGACACTGAGTAATGTACACCAGCGTCAACCATCCAAATCCACTTTGGCTTCTAGCCAAAACTACCTTGAGCTCCTACCCAGCATGGAGGATATGCCTACACCTTCTCGACGAAGCGATCTAACTGAGAGTCCGGCACGGCCTGCGATAGAGTTGAATCGGTATGTCCTGTCTCTGTTTTCCTAAGCGAGTCGTTCTAACCAAGTTGATAGACGTGAATTTAGACGGGCTAGCAGGTTGGGACAGATGAGGGGCGAGCCACGAGATGCGAGCGAAAGCTCTTCACTCTTTCACACCAACGACTCGTGGGATACAGATGATCTACTAACTGGATTCGACGATGACGCACGCGAGTTCACGCCTGCGCCGTTGAGAGTGGATCGCGGCGTAAGTGTCACGGAGGAGAGTGTCGAGACTGGAGTGCCCGATGTCGATGTGATAACTCAAGTGTAAGGCGGTGCACGAGACATGGTACGTGTGGCAGAGTCGGTATTGTTCGGTAGTATGAGTGTCACTGGTATTAAGAGGATGGGTGCAAGGTGATTTCTGCGGCGTTTAGAAAGGGGCACGGCGATCGCTCTCAGACGAGCCAGATCAGTCAACATCCAGGAGTCGGGCGCAACATTCTTAGTATCCGAGTATTGTTGGAGTCAATTGTTATCATTATTCGATAGTTTATCCCTCTTCCTGTCTAGTTCTCCTCCCTCAAGCTCTCGAGCACCTTCTTCATCATCTGGTTGCCCACTACCTTGGCCTCCTCGAATCGAGGCTCAAAGAACTCTTGGGTGCTCACGAAGCGCTTCTCCCACGTTTCAAAGTGGCCGAGGCTGACACACTCGGCCCACGCGCGGGCTGCAAATGTGAACTCGAGGTCGTCGCTGCGGTACGTCTTGTCCTCGATGGCGGTGCGGATCGCTGCGTCAAGCACGTCGCCGTTGCGGAATAGGTACTCGGTGACACCTAGACGTAGACGGAATAGGGGTGTGCTGCACAGCATGTGATCGTAGGGCACGATGTTGAGTGCTGCCCAGCAGTCCACCATTGCCAGGAGGGACAGGTGGTTGTTGGGTCGGGGCTCGTCGGTTGGTGTACCAAGCGAGAAAGATGACAGAATTGACGGCTCTAGCAGTGGACGAGTGCCCCATGTCGTTGAAGGGCCAAACACCTTGTCTCGGGCCTGGTAGACACGATCTCTAAGACCCTCAAAGTTGCCCTCGAGCATGAGCTTGTACAGGTCCGTGACACTTCTCGCGTACTGAGCAATCTGCTCCCGCGCCTCGGGGTTAAGGATAGCCAGACCAGCGTAGACGTGCCACTTTTGGCTATAGATCCGCAGCATAATGTTGACCTTGACGTTCTCGATGCCGCCAACATAACGGCTCAACTCCCAGGGAAACTGTCTGTTTGCATGCCACGCCTTGCCCATGGACAAGAACGCGGCGTGCGTAACAGCCTGTGTGTCGGCCGTGATGCGATCATGCTCGCGAGCGGAGAGGTAGACAAACTTTGATCGGAGACAGCTTAGCACCGCCTCGACCTTGGCGAGGGCCTCGTTCGGGGCTCGGTGCTGGATGAGAACCAGGGGTTGGTTGTAGGGGTCGACGTTGGGGCCGTGGAGCGAGTGGCACGAGATGATGGACACGTCCGTAGGGAGATGGGCTTCGAAAGCGGCAATCTCAGGCGACTTGCACGATGTCTGGCCGCCGACAATGGCTCCGAGCTTGGTTGCTGCGGTAGAGCAAGAGTGTCAGTGAGTTTACACACATTTACAGTAGATTCAAAACATCACAAAGGGAGCAAAGTAGACGAGGGCGCGTACATGGTCCGTACTGGGCAATCACACGATCAATGACAGCCGCCTCGACGCTATAAATGATGTAGTCGCTGGCGCGGGATACAAGGTGACCATTTCGGCAAATCTCTATATTTTTCTATTTGATACCTTTCAGCGACAGGAAGCAGCAGCGTAGGATACGAGAGCCCGTACATTTCCAGCATATTCCTTCTGGAGGCTTTCGAGGTTCTCTTCTCTATCGCAGGCTAGGATTCTAGTCGACCGTCAACCACGGTTCGAGTCACGAGTAACGCATCTGCTTCTTTTTTGAATGTTAGCTTTTGTGCTTGCAAAGAGATGCTAACAGAAAGTGAGGTGTGAAGAGGTTGTTCAGACAAAGAATAGTTAAGGTAGCAAGCGTTTACATCAGTGAGAGCCCAAGGCGGAGTCAAATAACCAAGACGGTCACAAGACGTCCCTGAACAATACTCGAGCCAAATGCGCTCTAGTCATCATAACAGAGGGAAGGGTGTTGGTGTTGAGAAGGGAACCGACTTACCATAAAGAGAAGAGGCTGGTGGTAGGAACAGGCGTCGCAATGACCCAGAACTTACCTCCAGCCAGCGGCAGACAGCCTTTCGGCGTACATCTTGCCCATATCGCCCATGCCAATCAGGCCAACGACGAAATTCTCCATCCCCGAGGGGACGGGCTGTGTCTCTGAAGCCATGGTATCTGCTGCGTGATGGAGTAGCAAGAGCAGAGAAACACGGATCACATCCTCACACCCGCAAACGAGTGTTTTGTTGGACTTTGGGGCAAAGTCCTTACAAGGTGTGTGAGGGTTGATGAGGAGAGAAGATTGAAGATGAAAAAAAAGTTCGAGGTTATTTTCAATGGTTTAGATAAGCGCGTCTTACATAATCATCTGTTCGCGATACAGCGATGGTGGGGCTTAATGGAGACTTTGTGGATATGCATCTATGGAGACAAGCATCTTGGAAGCTCCCAGAAGTGAGTCTTCTCAACGTCTCCATTTCTCATTTCCAGCCCCCTCAGCAATTTAGTCATGGAGGTCGTATTCGCCCTGGGATCCAACGGCTCTGGGCAGCTCGGAATTGGCCACAAGGAAGACGTCTCCGTGCCGAAGCAGGTCATCTTCCACCCGGAACCCCCAGCCTCCCCCATTGCAAAGGTCGCAGCCGGGGGTAACCACACGCTGCTCCTCAGCAAGTCCGGCGAGCTGTACTGGAGCGGCGACTCGACGCCTGGGGCTTGCGGCTTGACTTCGGGTCCCGATGTTCCAGTTTTTCGGCAGATTCGACTCTCTAATGAGGGTGGATCCCAGGTTGGCGAGATTGACTTGATCGCGGCGACTTGGGAAGCTTCTATCATTGTTTCCAAGGATTCAGATGGCAAGAATACAAAGGTTTTTACCTTTGGTACTGGTATGAAGGGTGAACTAGGTCTGGGCGAGCTCATTGTACGCACACCATCAGCTACTCAGATCAAAGAGTTTCCTCCCTCGGGCACAGAAGTGGTTGACTTGGCTGCTTGCATGGGTCACGTCGTCGTGGTACTCAGCAATGGCGATGCCTATGGCTGGGGTAATGGAAGAAAGGGCCAAGCTGGCAGCCCTGGACAGGTCCTTCATGCTCCTCGAAAGATTGAAGATGTTGGCTTCAAGGTTGCTCGAGCAGTTTGTGGCAGGGAATTCACCTGCCTTTTCGGCGAACCACAGAGTGGAAACATCAAGGTGCTCGGTTCAGACAAATGGGACATCCAGTCGAGCGCACCCCAGTCTTGTCCTGAATGGAAAGACGTAGGAGCAAGCTGGGGAAATATTTATGTTTTGACCAAAGATGGCTCTCTACAAAGCTGGGGACGAGATGATCATGGACAACTACCACCCCCGAATCTCCCAGAGCTGAGCAAAGTCGCCATTGGAAGTGAACACGTCGTTGCACTCTCGACTACAGGAGATGTCCTCTCATGGGGATGGGGTGAACACGGCAACTGTGGCCCTCAAGTTGAGGACAACGATGTCAAGGGTCGATGGAATATCATTGCCTCGTCAAAATTCATCCCTTCTGGCTCCAAGATAGGAGCAGTTGGGGCAGGCTGTGCCACCAGTTGGGTATTCATTACATCTGAGTGAATCCATTCCCAAAAAATCAACACCGCCATCATACGCCTCCTCGTCCTTGCATCTTTAATCCGGGAAAAGAGCCAGGCTCTGGACATCGGCCAGCTTTTGTGTTGGCTCCAAGAATACCGATTCCGAGCCTGTTGGTTCTGGTGCCTCAGCCTCTGGCTCAGGTTCAGGCTCGGGTTCCGCCGCCGTTTCGGGTTCCGTGGTCTTTGGCCTCTCCTCAGCCCGGTTCATATGGAAGACAGAGGGATTCTGCCAAGTTAGCTTCTCGTCAGGCGCAGAAGGAATCATGAAACTTACAGGATCCGCACTATGATCCCATCCTAGTCTCGCATTATCCTCCTCTTCGGCATCTTCATCATAGTTGATAGGCTCCCAACCCTCATCCTCGACGAACAAGCTCTCGGATCTCATGGTTGCAGGAGGTGGTGGCTTCTGGGAGGGCCGCAAGTCAAACGCCCCTATGCGCGACGCGCTGGCTCTAGCAACGCTCATTTGCGGAGTAAGCTGCTGAGGTCTTGAAGCAGGAGGAGGGACTTGCGGCCGAGGGGGTTGTGATTCCGACGGAGCCACACTCGTCCTACGTGATGTGGCTTCGAGGCGTGGACCTGTGTTTTGTGCTGCATTCTTACGACCCTTCTTTGTTCTCTGTGTAGGGTTACTGCCACGCTCGCCGACGGTCATGATGAGAAATTCACATGACATAGCATCTCCGGTATAGGAGAGCTGGATTGGTCGGGCAGGGATTGAGTAGCGGGCCGAGACATCGTTACCTGCAATACCAGCATGCTGGATGATGGCGCGAAAGTCTTTGACGGAAATCACGATGTGGAGTTTATCTTCGACATCAATGTCGTCAAACTCGTCGGCTTCAACGGCAATTGATGTCTGAAGAGGCTTCTTGAGGACCGCTAGTCAGACAATTAGCACAGAAACACACATTAACAGGAAGAAACGCACCATCCTCGCTGACTGTCTTCTCACTAAAGCATGTGAAGTTGACATGGTCACCATCAGTATTGATGTCAAGAAACTCGATACCAGGGCCAAAGTGGTCCATCAGCTGCCGCAACGTCCGTGATGAGATAGTCCAGTGGTGAGGAGCATCCTGTTTGTTGAACTTGGCGTGGACAGGGACGGACACCTCAAAAGGAAGCCGGTGGGTTGAAGTCAGTCCATTTCGGAAAATTATACGTGCGATGAATCTGCTTTGGATTCCCTCTCCGTCCTCGATGGCGACGTCACATTTTTCGATCAGCGTCTGCTTCTCAACATCCCTCTGTGTGTCGGTAGCAGTGCGACTCCGGAACAGTGAGATCAGGGCCTGTGCAGAACATTAATACCATGGCATTTGGGTGGCGGTCCCCAGTCAGAGCTCACTCGGATGTAAAGGGTGCAGTAGAAGCGATCCCGGAACTGGCGACTGCCTTGGTACTGGTAACGCGAGAAGAACTTGCCGGTCGCGAACTTGACACTTGCGTATGCGGATTTGGAAGTGTTGAGGGTAGTGAGAACAAACTGCAATGTGTAAGCAAGATGACTGATTATTCTGGCTGGGATGGCACCAACAGAATCCTTCCTGGCTTCTAGTGAGACGTCATCACTGAACTTGTTCAAGCAGATGAGGGCGTCACGAAAAGCCGAGACGCCTTCCTCGCTCAGTGTGAAATTGAGAAGCGCCATGCCGCTTTCTAAGTAGACGATGGTTTAGCGAAGAACCATGGTGGAGTTTAAAAAACAGAGTCACGATCAAGATGTGGAATTCTTCATAAACTTGAACTGTCATCACTCACGATTGCTCTACGTGAACGCGTGCCTGCCACGGTAAGTGCATAACCCCACTTAATCAGCTACCCTAGATCATGAGCCGACGCGATTGAACTTTATGTTTTTATTGTCAAATTGTTTGAAGAAGAAGAAGTTCTATTAATTGAAGGATCATATCGCCATTCTCTGCGTATCACAATTTATCGCTAAACTCGTTCAAAGCCAGTGTCGTAGTCTCGTAATGCCGGGATCCTTCAGCGGATCAACAGAAGAAGTCGCCACGTGGATAGGACAGATGGGTTCCCGCCTTAAGCTCGGAAACAGCTGAACTTGCCGAGGGAGAACCGCCAAGGGCCTCGTCGGACACCGTTCTTGTCGACGTGAATGCTGGTGCCAAAATGGCGGCCACCGATGCCCTTTGACCAGAAAAGACCCATGGTGTATTGTTTGTTGTTGTGAAGTTCTGTAAAGTGGTTGGTAGGGAGATCTTGTATCGCCCAGTCAGCTCACGGCACTTCACAAGTCCTGAGGGTGTACTCACCTTGATAGGTTCAAAAGTCTAGCGCAGGATGTCGTTGAAAGAAGCTTGAAATGCAAGAAATAAGGTGATGAGGGGTCGGCGATCGCTCTTATACGAGTCGCTGATTGTTGTTGGGCACGCACGCCAATGACTTCCTTGGCAGGGACCATGAGGCCTCTGGAGGCGTCCAGTGACATGCATTGACGTAAGCGCCGTGGCTGTGCGGGCCAGACGCCACACCTAGGATATGTCGGTTATCGTCAGCTGGACAGGGATGGTGTTCAACCTGCCTACGCGACCATCCATCAGTTATCCTCTTCAAACAATCACGAAAGAAAGGAGCAGAAGCTTCGTTCTTGCTCTGATAATTACCCCCAACAACATAAGTTGAACACTACGATGACTCAAACCGAACATGGGCACATGGACAATGTTGTTCAGCAACCTTTTGTCTCCCAAGAGCTCCAGGCTGTGGACTGAACAGCTCATAATGCGCTCTCGGTCGGACCTTACGGCTTGCCCAAAACTAGAGGCAGATTGTCCAAGTGGGCACCAACTTCTCGGCAATCCCAATGGCCAAATCGATGCATATCCGGACAGTGTCGTTCACATCCAGAACACAATCCCTACAAGCACAACCAGTCCAGTTGTGTCAGGACTCGAAATGGACATTGTCGAATAAACATGTCTTATTGGGATTCGCACGAATTTCGTTTACTATATATCAAAGGGTTGGTCCTTGTAACACTCCCTTTTCCCATCTCCGACACAACTCTGCAGACATCGCCACAGGAACCTGCCAAAGACCAACTATTGACAATTTCACTGAACAACGTCGATAAACATAGGCCCTCTAAAATGCCTAGAGAAAACCACCGCGAGAGAGCTGGCGACTCTGAGCGCTCCGTCTGGATCCCTCGGCGTCGATTCATCCCATACGGAAGACCTCGTCTTAGAACAGATGCTCGTCCTGTAACTGTAACTGCTGAGCAAGCTAGGCATGCAAGAGAGAGGCTTCGTCAACTTTCGGTCAATCTTGGCCAACGTGCCGAAAACGCCCACGCTGAAGCGGCTGCCGCCGATTCACATCGTGCTCGGGATGCAGGATCACTGGGTCAGGGACAAGGCCAGCAAGCAGCCCAGGATCAGGAGTACATGGAGATCTGGGATTCGATAATGACTATCGGCAGATATCGACGGCAGAGGCGACAGCAGCGTGAATTTGAAGAAGACCGACGAAGATGGCAAGAAAGAGAAGAACTACGACAACGCCGAGAACAACAAAGACAGCGAGAACGCACAGAACGCGTACAACGCCTAAGGCTTCCCGATTACACGCCTTCGCTGGGGCGACTGCTGGACATTATTTCACAGCAGCCGCAGGAGCCGACATCGCGTCCACTAATCGCGAACGCTCCCACTGAGATGGCCTCAGCCCCGGCTCCATCGGCTGATGGGGAGCCGACATGGGACTTTGAGGACTGGTTCGACGGTGAATACCTGGACCAGCTCGTCAGTGAATTTCTGCATCTAGAAGACCAGGAGCTGGTAGAGGAGGTGACGAGGCAGGTTGAGCAACTTAGCCTAGCCAGTGACTTGGCCCAAGAGGTGGCGGGACTTGATGAGCAACCAGTCTTGACCCAAGACCCAACGGTTAGCTCAGAGGGCCCAATGGTCAATGGAAATGTCCCAGCGGCCAGTGGATTGAATGAAGAGCCAAACGGCGAGCGGTAGGGGGATGACCACCAACTACCTCAGTAAGTATCTGCCATCTTTTGATTGCTGACGCGTGCCCACAGATAGCTATACTTCCATTTGGAGCATGAGAGAGAATCGAAAAGGTGAGTCTCAATATGCTTTTCATTGCCACCTGATTGTAGGCGTTTTTGATTTATGGCCCAACTCGAGTCTCTCGAGATGGTATGATGGCCTTTTCATTCTTTCTTTCTTAGATTTCTTTATGTAATACGAATTTCTTTTTTAACCTCCTTACAGGACTCAGAATCTTTGCAACTATGTGATTGATAAATTGAGAGGAGTAACTCTCCATGGTGAGCTACCTACGTTGACTAACATGATACTAACATACCAGGTAGATACCCAAAACCCAACCCCAAGCTGCCCAACACAAGTGTCGAATGGCAAGAAAGACTTGCTCATCCCAAACTGTATGCTACGCCGTCACTTTATGCGCATTGAAGTTCATACCAACCCGCAGCGACCAAGCTCTCATCACCCGTTCGATCTCCAGCACCAGTCCAGTAGAAGAGACCTCCAAGTTCCATGGCCTTGGCATATCTGGCTTTGATACGAACCGTGGCGGGAACATCAAAGGAGACGAAGCCCTTGTCGCCACCTTCGTCGACAAAGGACGCCGCGACAACGCCTTCATCGACGTGAGCACCTTCAACCCATTCACCCGGGAGGTCGCAATAGTCCATCTCCCCAGCGCCTTCAAAAGGATGCCCTGGGCCACGCGCCTGGCCAAAGTATCTAGCATATGCTGGAATACCGAGAAGAACCTTGTGACTGGGGAAGCCGTGGTTGATGACAAAGTCGACGCCAGCCTGGCACGAGCTACGGAGAGTTGGATAAACGTCGTCTTCACCTGGAGGGAGAAGCTGCGCGTGATGACCGCAGACGTCAGTCCATGCGCCGGTGAAGTCGTATGCCATGAGGTTGAGAAAGTCGAGCAACTCGCCTACAGTTGGTAGGTCGAGATGCTTGAGACAGTATTCGCCCACAGGGAGGGCACTGGTCAAGAGGTAATCGGGCGCCGGGAGAGCCTCTCGGATGGCTTGAAGGAATAGGAGATAATTCTGTCCTGCCTCAGGAGTCTGAGGATGCTCCCAGTCAACTGTTCAAACATGTTGGCCTTTCTGCTTGCACCTCATTTTAGGGAACACTCACTGTCGACGCCATCGAGTTGATGGGTATCGCAAAACTCCTTTATCTGCCGCGCAAACGTTTCTCTTGCTTCCTCACTCTCAGCCAGGCCAGGAAACTCGTTGCTGCTTCCGCCTCCGCCGATAGACACAACAGTCTTTATGTGTGGATTTTCGTTCTTCAATTTGGCAACGGCTGCAAGGCAGCCCTTCTCGCCATCGACTTCCATGTCGTTGTCGGCCCATTCGTCGAGAGTCTGCGGATATAAGCGAGTGTTTCAGAGAGGTTGCATTATAGGCGGCTGTATACCCGAAGGGTTCCATCCTCGTTGACGCTAGAACATGTTAGCCTGCGATTGGCGATCTGTGGCTGGCTCGAGGACTTACCCGACAAAGGCGTAGAAGATGTGGGTGATGGAGGAGACGTCTAGGGAAGAAGGTGGACGTTCCTTGTAGACGCGCCACGAGGGGTAATAGACGGCGTTGGCGTACATGTTGGTTGTTGTTGATGTTGATGATGATGTTGATCTTGGGACGGATCGATCTGACTACCCCACTGAGTGCCCAGATCGACAGGGACTCACCGTGGTGACCCCGCAGGCCGTATCATTTTCGCCAAGGTGAGATGTGAGCTGGTTGTCGTGAGGTGATTGGATCTGTTCTCGTATCGTATGTGGGTTTCCGAGGACGAGAAGACGTGTTGAGACTGAGGATATTGTCTGGGCGCTTATCTAAGCTGTAGATGGTGAGCATGACAAGAAGAAAGCTAGGCATTATTCTCTTCTTGTGTGATTATTGGAGAAGAGATTCATATGGCCAAACTCTTCCACTGGTATTGTCTGGTACATGACTGCTAATGCTGATAATAGGTTCTACACTGTCTAGCGAAGTAATGCCATCTTGACACTCGCAACTCTTCGAGGCCCTTCGAGTCATCTAGGTATTAAAGATGCCCCGAAAACGACCGCAACTTGGCAATGATTCTATGATCGTTACCCTATCCAGTTTGATATAGACTTTGGTCTCTACGACGCCCAACCGCATCAAGCCAGTGTCGTCGTCGATCCCGGCCGTCGATCGGAGCCGCACATGATGCTGGCGTTTGCCTTTCGTGGGCAAAAGGTACAGGAGTGGTTGAGCTTGCGAGACTCTCTAGTCAAGGGAGACTAATGCAAGGCACAAATGCCACGAGTTATCAGCGTCATTGATATGTGCTTGCTAGAAGCATAAATCAACCGCAATACATGCCGATACTTTCACTATCTATGCCAAGTCACTGTTTCAGGTGTGTTGTGTTGTATAAACGGAGCATGTACTGTACACACAAAGTCTTCCGTGAACTACTCCTGACAAGACCTAGACTATGCCCGTTGGTTCGGTCTACGAAGGACTACTTCGGATCACTTGGTTCATAGTTAAATTAGTCAAGAACGGATGTCACGACGGGCGAGTACCTTGGAGATCATCCCCGAACTGGCACGCAAACCCAAGCGGAACCAGAACCACGGCTTCAGCCTCGGGTATGCGGCTTCTTCGGAAATCGTATGGCCAACATGTTTGCGAGCGGAACGAAAGCCTCATCTTGTGTCACAAGGCTTCCCAACTTCTCTGCTAGACAGGGCTAGTCACCAAACAGGCTATCCACGTAGCGGGTAGCCTGGGTCTCTGATGCATCCAGCCTTGCCAAACCACCCGGGTTCTCACTTGATACCCGGAATGCGGATACTGTGCCTACGAAACTTGGGCCTGATCTCGGGAAAATGCGAGCACGTGGTGATGGACCTCGTGTCTCGGATAACGGCCTCCAGGGAGCCCAAGTATCACCAGACTTACAAGTGCTACCGAGATTGCTTTCCCGGGTTTGGAAGCTGGAGAGTTTATCAGGATATTTTGTGTCTCAGACTCGTCTGAAGAGGGAAACGGATGCTTGCTGCTAGGTGGCGTGCCAGGAGGGACTCGGGCCAGCTATCGAGGCAATCTCGAGTTTGCTAGCCTCGCTTCGTACATCTCCATCTCCGTACATATCCTTTGACAATAGCAAAAGTGAACTCGAGCACGTAACCGAGAGTCAAACAAACGCCTTGTTTACCCCCTGCCGAGTCACCAGTAGTAGACAGACACTGTCATCGGGATACTCGACTCGGAAGAGCGGCACATCAGGGGGCGAGCTGGATAGCCGCAGGGTCAGATGGCCTCGAATCTCGGCCCTTAGTTATCGGTCGTGCAAGGCAGTTTCGTGTTTGTTGGTTTAGTTTCCGTGACGGATGCAGACGGTGAGATCGTCATGCATAGATTGCTCGGCGTGGAAATGACCGGGTCAATGTGCATGGCCAACAGCTCAAGGCCTTGACAAACAGACTCAGCTATTATGACGATATCCACGAGAAAGAAAACACTGCCGTGAGGAGGGGGTGACCTGGTAACACAAGGCATCCCGCTTTGACGGGCTCGGCGTACAAGCAGCCAGGGCATCCCTGTGACTCGGGATGCTGCATCCACAGCAGAGATGCCGCGGATCTAGCCATCCACGCGGTTGGACTGCAGGTAGCCGCCACCGAATGATACTCTCGAGTCTCTGTAGGTAGAGTCGACGGCTGCCAGCATGGTATGTCCAGCTTGTTTGAAACCGCGTGGCCTGAGGGCGCACCAATGCCTCTCCCCGCCATGCAGATGATCTCGGTGTTTTTTTTTTGTCGATAGTCTGAATGACACACATTCCTTGTTGATTCGGAGGCTTTCTGCCCTGGGCGGAGTAAGACGTCAAGATGCCAGCTCAGCCCCCTCCTCAGCCCGTCTCCCATTGCCGAGGACCTGGATTGTTTGCCTCTGCCTCTGTATGTGATGACTCCCATTCAAGGCCTGTCAGCTCAGCGCAGCGGTGAACCAACACACTGCGGCAAACTTGGCACCCCCCTCCCTTAGTTCTACAACAGTCAACAAGAGACGGCCCAGATTCGTGTGATTCATGCCCTGTGACGAGGTCAGCGAAACCTCGAGGACGAATGAGAACTCTTCTCAAAAAGCCATTCATCGTCGTTACCAGAGTGTCGGGTCGAGGCTGCGTCTGGCATCGGCGTTTGCTAACTGGGACTGCATCTCTTTTGTTGGTGGGAACGGAGCTGATGTCCAAACTTGTTCGTGAGGCTTCCTCTAGCCTGAGTGTGAGGAAGAGAGAGACAAGAAACATCGTTTATCCCGCAAATAGCCTAATTGTAAGCTTGAAAGGATGGTCCACTTTGTCGAGGCGCCTTTGTCCTACATGGGGCCCAAGCATGGGGCATGGGGAGAAAAAAAAAGGCTTCCCTTGTACGTACCTCGAGTGGCTGCAGGGCACATCTCGACTCGAGCAAGATGTAGAATCATACCCTTCCAAGACTCGTACCCAAGTCCCAGATCCTGGTTCATGCTTGTCGATCCTTCTCTGACTCTTCCAAACATTGTCGCACAAGAGCGGCAATGCACACACACATATACACACAAACACCAAGAGTCCTCGATGCAACCTCTCCACGCCTCTCAAAGGTTAAAGAAAAAAGCAACATTATGGTGGGATGTGCTACTGCAGGTCGTCTGGTGCAGATTATCCAATGCCAATGCGTGGGGCCGGTGTGCTTGAAAGATTGGAAATGTTTGCTTGCTTACAGTGTGTGAGGCGTCAACGGCATATGGTCAGAAAACGCCGCTTAGGAAATGCCACATGGAAACGTGCATCCAAGAGGAGGTCCGAGCTCAAAGAAAAGTGTACAGTATGCGAAAAGTGAATGTCTTGATGGATAAACAGGGCTTCATCATGTCAAGCCGTCATGCAACAAGACAAGCCGCCCCAAAGAAATGCCCCTAGTTAACAGTCTGTGATGGCTTCAAGGGCCCATAAACATACATGGTACAAGACAAGACAAACGTGAGAGCCACACGGGCAGACATATACATTTGGTAGGGTTTTCGTCGCCTTGAGGCACTGTACACACCCTCCATCTCTGGATACTCTATCCTCAGTCCTAACAAGATGAGAACATCTGGAAATACTCATCCAGTTCCATTAAAAGAAGTAATCCTTTCGACACACCAAACCCTCTGTTCGACCTCACCACAGGCATGGCCCAGGCCAACTCACTTGTCGCTCACAAAACTCGGACGGTTGCCCTTCTCTCTCTCAAAAAAAAAAGTAGAAACATGAATCAAGAAATGAAAACAAACACACAAAAATAACAACATGACCGAAACATTCCCTTGCGCGCGCCTTCATGAAGGGGTAGTAGTAATCTCGCAGAGCCCTCAACTTTGTGGGCCCATTTCCCTGAACGCCCAGAACAATCCTGAAGAACCTCCATCAATCACACGTCCTGCTGTAGAAAGTCGTTTCCGTGAACAATCGCTTTTCCATTCATGACTGTGTTTGTCATTTATTTGGATCCTGCAAGTCGTGAACCAAGGCCGCTGGGCCTGCGACTGACTGTTGGCCAAAATGCCCCGTCAAGCTCGCCGTGACACGCGCATGCCGTGTTTAATCATCCCGCTGTGGGGGTTCCCGACGCGTCTCTCGCCTGGAGAGACCCGGAAAGCTCGCAGAGGTACTGATGGTGGTGTAGTCATGCTCCTACATGACCGTTGAAGCCAGGAGGCGCGATTCAACATCGTCCATCCCCATACCGTCCATGCGTGGTCCCTCCATCCCCTGGAGCCTGGACTCGATAGCTTGGAATCGGGGTTCATATCCTCCCGCTCGTGCTTCGAGATTCTCCATTCGCTTCTCAATGTTATCTAGGCGCTGCTCGATGCGCATTAGGCCCTGAGCCATGTCGTGGTTGAGGCGATCGAGCTTGTTGGTGAAGGAGCGGATCGAGGTGGCCAGCGGCGCGTTCTCTTGACCAGGAGTACCAGCGGGAACCCGGGGTTCGTGGTTATGACGGCCTTCTTGGATGGCAAAACGCCATTGGTTTCCAAGCTGGACTTCGCAGACAGCCTTTGCACGGAAAGGGCAGTCGATCTTGCGCGTCGATGGATTGCGCTTCTTGGCGGTGCTGTTATACTTGACACCACCGCGATCGCAGACAAGATCATAACGGGTAGGCTTTCCGTCGCGATAGTTGGAGGCGCGCAACTTGACAATTCCGTAGCCCTGATCCTTGGCGACGCGCTGAACAGAGGCCATCAAGTCCTCAAACGTCCTGAAGATGCCTTCTGGTGGGGGTAATAGCGCTGGAGGTGGTGTATTCGGCATGACGATTGCTTGAGCCAGGGTGGCGGTTGTAACGGGGAATTTTGGGGAAAGTGGGGAGGGCAAGTGTCTTGCCAGAGAAGAGCGGCCGTGGTAGCGGTATAAGAGGGCTTGGGATAATCGCGTCTGGGCAGTCGCTGTTGGTCGTAGTTCGTCGTCGTATATTCGGTCGATGTATGTACTATGCAAGAGGCTGGGCTGTAAGGATTTTTCCAATCCGCACTGTTGAACAAGACGGCAGCACTTACAAGGTTTAGTGTTGATCCGGTCCGAACGAGGCCCACTCCGCCTGCAGCAAGGGGCAGCAGAGGTACGTATCCGTTCTGCGGGAGCTTCTTGTCGCGGCGGCTCCGTGCAGATGAGAGAACAAGAATGTTTGAATTCGGAAGGTAGCTCAATGAAGGGCGTGCGTAGGTGTGGCTGAAGAAAAAGAGAGAAAGACGAGTGTATCAGAGCCGACGAGGTTGATGCACAAAGGCAATGCTTTCAGTGATGGGGGAAGACGGTGGTTATATCCTCGAGTCTTTGAGAGGAAGGTAGATTCTTGGAACTGGTGATGCGAGACTTCCCACGTCAACTTGAGTTCCCCAAGCTGCATGGCTAGCACGTGATAGACTGACAATTGAGCATCTGGCAGCGGCCTGGCGCAGCGATGCGGGCTCGCTCAAAGCAAGGAGGGGATACAATCCGTCTCAAAATCTGTTTGTATATCGTAGAAGATATTATTTTTATCACTGATGATGCTGCTCTTCGTTCTTTCAACAAAGACCACCAACACGCATGTCACCAGATCGGCACGGTGCGGGTTGGCCGTTCCTGGTTCCTTGCTGCCAGCCGACTCGGTTCTGATAGTACCTGGCTCGCAGGCAAAATAACCCGAGAGATGTGGTAACACCGAAACGTCAAAGCTTCTTCCTCCCCTGGCCCCACGCACGTCGCCCAGACCCGTCCCCGACGCGGAGGCAAACGCAGGCTGGGAATCAACCTCCAACCCTGACTTTCTAGAATTATTCGTTGCACCTGCTACACGCAGTGGCTTTTTTGTGTTCTTTTTTAAAAACATAGCCGTGCGCACTCTCTCCAGCCTGGTCATTGTTGCCCTCTGCTCGTCTCATCTAGTCTCGGCCACCGGCTGCGCTCGTGTTGCTGCTCGACACCCTCAAATCTTGGATACCCTCACACCCGTCGTTTAGTTGAGCCCAGAGAGCAACAGCTCCTTGCTACCATGAACCAGCAGCCACCCACCCAGAATCAATCTCAGGCGCCAGATGCAGCCGACCAGGGTGAATGGGATGAAGCCCGTCTCGAGGAAGCCATGCAGCGGCTCAAGCTCCTGCATATCAAGGTAATGGTGCTTCTAAGATAAGAAACCGAGGCGCAAACTTGCTGATCAGGCTCTCGTTTCAGGTTCGCCTCTTGAGAGACACCATACCGCAGATGATCCAGCCGCTTCTGCAGAAGCAGCCCTCACGTAGGCGCCCTATTCCCACACTGAAACAACTTCAGCTGATGCATCTCATCACAGCCGACGCCATGTTTGCCGCCTACATGAAGTCCATCACTGAAGCGCAGAACAGCGTCAAGGAGTTTACCGAACTAATGCGCGATGACTTCAGCCAGCAAATAACTGCTCAGGTCCAGAAGAGGCAAGCAGAGGAGCCTAATGGCATCGTGCCATGGCGACACCAGGACCACCCCGACTGGTTCACTCTTGACAAGAAATGATGATGTTCATGATGCTTTGGTTTATGGTTATTCTTTGGTGTGATATTAAGGGCGTTCTTTTAGATACAGGTTCTAGGTAATGTCAGGTAGAGTTGCGCTGCTCAGACCCGAGTCTGGGCGACATAGATCCAGTCAGGTTAAGGATCTAGACAATGCCATCCCCGTCCATTGTTACAACCTCCTACGCCTCGGTGACAGATTCGCTTAACTCGACCAGTGACCAACCCTGATCCGTCGGTTGCTCGCTGGTCATATTCATACTGTCAATCAACTCACGACAACGAGTTCTGCATTCCGAAAACAACCTTGGCTAACAAGTTCCTCGGTCATGATCCGGAAATACGAGTTTACCAATACTCGACTGAGTCCTGGGTAACATGAGCCTGAGAAGAGAGGATCCAATATGTTGCTCAAAGCCTGTTCGTCAGTCTCCTTCAATGTGGAGCTAACCAGATCCTCAGTGGAAGAACTCAGGAAAAGAGAGAATATTGTCACGTGAGCCGTTCGGGCAGCCCACTGCCCCACTCTGATTCGTCGGTTTAGCGGGCACAATCCAGCTTCCCACCCACACAAAATTTCCAAAAGCCTCGAAATTCATTCTCGTTCTTGGTGAGATCCTCATTGCAACTCCCGACGACCACCAGCCGCCAAAATGGTTTCCCAACGAGTCACTTACCGCCGCCGCAACGGGTGAGTTCCTGTCTAGATGGACTCGAAATGAACAATCGAGCCATTGCTGGCGACCGCCGTGGCTAACCTGCGCTTCTCCCACAGCTACAACACCACCTCCAACCGAACCCGGGTCATCAAGACCCCCGGTGGTGACCTCCGCCTGCTTCACATCAAGAAGCGCGGCACTGTCCCCAAGTGCGGTGACTGCGGCTCCAAGCTCTCTGGCGTAAGTCGAACTCGACAACAGCGATTCTTTGCGACGTGGCGGATGGGACGAGACGAGCACGATGAGTGTTGGGATCTGGATAGAGGACACGCATACAGCAGACGAGGACACCGACATATCACACCGGCTGAAATCTCTACCGACACGAACCCTCTATCCAACCTCTCTCACCTCGTCTCGAAACATTCACCACCACAAAGGGCTTCTCGAACCTAGCCACACAGAACACAAGAACTAACTCTCCCATCTCTTAGATTCCCGCTCTCCGACCCCGCGAGTACTCCCAGATCTCCAAGCCCCAGAAGACCGTCCAGCGCGCCTACGGTGGTTCCCGATGCGGTGGCTGCGTCCGTGACCGCATTGTCCGTGCCTTCCTCATCGAGGAGCAGAAGATCGTCAAGAAGGTGCTGAAGGAGCAGGAGCAGAGCCAGAAGAAGAAATAAATGCAATTTCTCTAGTTGGCTTTTTCTGCGCGGGAAGGGCAAGGAACTCTGGGGACTCGGTTCACTGCTTTGGTGTTCATTAGGGCAAAAGGGACTGCATGATACATCGGGCCGGGGCCAGAATGGCTGGCCGTCTGCCGTCTTTAGGACTGCTACCTTCCTCTTGGTGGTTTGAATGAAAAAAGAACATCAAGCTGGCGTGGACTGGATTGCCGTCTGCATGAGTGATACTGGGGCTTCTTTGCGTGGGTGATGTGAGTGCCAAGGTTTTGGCCTATGTTCCGGGGTCTAGGTGAAAAGTTACTGGCGCCTTGAGGTTGAATTAATTCCCTTTGTGGATTCAAGTCTTATGATCGGTGACCCGTAGAGAACATGCACCCAGTGATAGTAGAGATTGTTGTTGCACTTTGATGAGCAATCATCATGACGTGCGGGACCGGAAAAAATATCCATCCCCCACGTTGAGTCTCTTCCACCTGAACCCTGCAAGCACCAAGCCCAACTCTTGTCCAACCATCAATTGCTTATTCCTAGGCGTAGTCGACATTTTGACGGTTGGTCAACGTTTCAGACATGGCATCGCGAAGTTTTATTCGGCCGTGTAGCGCACAGCGCGTTGTGCGCCAGGCTCTCTCCCAGCCCATCCGACCCTCCTACTCCTCGATCGCAGCTCTCAGAACCTCTTCTCCGACGCTTTCGTACGCCCCTACACAACCTGTATCATGTCGTCGAGCCTTCCACGAAGCCCCGAGTCGGAGAAAGGGTGAAGAACCGCCAGCGCAGGCTCCTCCGACCAACTTTGGCGACCTCGACATACTCGGCAACACACCCGTTCCCTCAACCTCGGTCGACGTTTGCATGTACGATGGATTTGGTTTGAACAGCGGCGCTACAATCACGGACGGTAACGGCGTATTGTTGGTCGACGGAGAGGTGTTCAACTGGCGGCCATGGGAGGCGAAGGGTTCAATGAACCTAACCAACAAGAAGGGTCAATTTGAGATTCCAGCTCAAGCATTTGCCTTGTTTGATTTGATATGGCCTCGCCCTGGTGAGTTCACACACATCTCTCCGTCCATCCTCTGCTTTGCTGCACATTGGGGGCGGTTGTTGACACACTTGACTAACTCTCTCACAGACCTTCTAATCATCGGAGTTGGCCCGTCCATCATGCCGCTGGCTCCTACTACGAGACGACACCTGGCCGAGCTAGGCATGCGAGTCGAGATACTGGATACAAGGAATGCCGCTTCGCAGTTCAACCTGTTGGCTACAGAGAGGGGTGTGTCGGATGTGGCGGCTGCCTTGATACCTATCGGATGGAAAGACGGGATTGGAGCCAAGTAATGGGATGTCAAGGCTATAAAGGACTTGTATACATATAATGTAACATTATGAGCACGATGGCTATTGTACGCTTTGGTGGTTGGGTTTGGATGATGGGCAACAGGTTAGACAATGTTGACGCATGATGAATGTATAGTAGGTTGTGTGTATAAACGCCCACTCTTGACAATCTGTGTTGAATAACTCCTATGTTCCCTAGGACCTGATTGCAATGGCACTTGTTTATAGCTGGCTTGTTGTGATGCCATGTTCTTTCAGTCTTGTGGTTCATCGAGCCGCCTAGGATTTTGAGATGAAGGAACCCCAGCTAGTATTCCAATAGTCGCGATTCAGTGCCGTATTATAGCCCACACAAACACATCCAACTTGTCTATCAATATCTCACTACAAGAAGACACTCCATCATTAAATCTATATCTGCTCACCATCAGTAATTCGACCATTTCTTCAAAATCCATCGTCGTTCAGGGTAGCCCTCAAGGGCTGTCGTCAATATTAGATAAGCAAGAATTCAACCCCATGTTTATCTGCTGCACACATGATTCGCCGCAATCGCTCTTCCAATGACGATCCCTTCGCGACCCCAGGCGGATGATGCAATGCCACGATTGGCTGCCCAACCTCAGACTCAATTCATCGCCGCCGACAGACTCAATCTCAAAATCCCATCATCGCCAATTAAAGAATCTCGTGAGCGAGATCGAGTTCCCCACCGAAGCTCCAGCCTCACACTGCGACCGTCTTCTTCAAGCCACTCTTGACCATCTTTTTGAATTTTTTTTTTCGCGCGCCCGCGGCTTGACCGCGATTTCCGTGGGGCCTTAGGGTCAAAGAGGTCAAAAACCCAGCCCAGGCCTGGGTAGCTCTCAGATGCCCCGATCTATCCCCGGCACTTGCACGGCGCCTTCACCATATCAATTGGCCTGGTGAGCCTGGCCTTGTCCTCCTCTGTCCTGACGTCGCTCTGTGCCCGGCTGGAGAGGCTCCGGTCCCGGTGGCACCAAGGGAACAAACGCAAACTCCCAAGTTACTCTTGTTATACCCTTGGCGGTGACTCAACAGCTTCAAATCTCGGATACCCTTACTTGGTAGGAGCTGCCGAGGAGCTCGGCCTTTCAACTGAAGCTCAATCGATTAATTGCGGCTCAACTATACCTGGCATTTGTCCTCCACTGACCCCATATCTACCTGCGACAACATATTCCCACTTCAATTGGACACCAGCAGTCATCCATTGAGCACACTCTCCTCTCAGACGCACGGCATGACGGCTCCTCACTCCGCGGCCTTCCAACAGGCCATAGACTCCACTGACCCTCATCTCACGGACCCCTCCCTCCTCAAGGATCACTCCGACTTCAAGTCTTACAGCACCAGCCGCTTCGAATATTCCGGGATCCGAGTCTTCTACCGGCAGCATGCTAAAGCTGAGCAACTTCCCAAGAACCCCGCGCCGCTGCCACTGCTCGTTTTCCTCCATGGACTTGGAGGATCTGTCGCTCAATTTCACCCGCTGTTGAGCAGTCTTGTTGACCTGGCCCCCTGCTTGGCAATCGACTACCCCGGATGCGGACGGTCCGACTTCTCGGTCACCAGTTGGGAAGCTTACACGACAGAGGCCCTGGTAGAGCTCCTAGAGATCATCATCGAGGATTACCGCGACAAGGATGCAGGTCAACGTGTCGTTCTGATCGGTCATAGTATGGGAACGGCGCTTTCTGCCCAATTGGCTAACACGAAGCTGGCCCATGCAACCTCTCTGTCGCAGTATGTGGTAGGATTGGTGGCTATCTGCCCAGTGTCCAGCCCACCCAATGAGTCAACAACTACATGGGCCAGGAGGGCGCTGCGGATTCCAGGCTGGCTCTTCGATCTGTGGAGAGCTTGGGACGGCTGGGGTGGTCCGGAGAGCCCAAGTGTCAAGCGTTTCGTTGGAGAAGGTGCTGATGAAGCGACTCGGATTCTCCAGTACCGCTTCAACAAGCAGAGCCGGACCCCAGTCTGGAGACGAATGGCGAATGGTGCCCTGCCAGTTTACAAAGATGGTCAACCGATAGGCGGCATTCCTACTCTGGATACCTGGGCGGACCTGGATATTCCTGTTTACCTGATCGGAGGGGAGAATGACAACATCGTCTCTCCCAAGGAGGTTGACAAGATTGCCAAAGTCCTGGACCCTGAGAAAGAAAACTCAAAGCCTGACGACGGCGAAGAGACGGACCACACGATTGTTGATGCTGCTGCTCCTGTCAACACCTCAGTACGACCACGAGATCACATCCCCCAAGCTATTGAAGATCTTCGGGATGAGGATTTCCAAGTCATCAAGCCGCCCAGGTCCGAAAGCTCCAGCAGCGATAGTCCTAATGATCCTTCGACTCCAAACGAGACCATGGCGGAACTGCCACCGCAGCCGAATCATCCCAAGAAAGTGGTTAGATCCATTGTGATGCCACCTCCTGCAACACACGCCGTTCTATATACCCCCTGTTCAGTTCGTGCCGTTGCAGGATTAATATCCGACTTCCTCGCTACGCATATCACAAACAGACTATCCCTTGCTTGGCAGCTGCAGTATCTTTCCCGTGAAGGGAAGTGGGATGTCAAGAATCTCGCCAAGTGGAAGTCAGTCAACCCCGTCTCTGAGCCGATTGGTCCCGTCGACAACCCTGTCTTCCGCGCCCTCAAGACGCTTCGCGAAGCCGACGACGTCCACTGCCCACCCAACTTTGTCGACAAGTGGGGTGACATTGTTAAAGATGTTATCGACATCTCCAAGGACCAGCCCGTCTATGACCCACGCGGATTGGACCGGGCTGGCGTTCATTACCACAAGTTTCCTACCGTGTCCAAGATCCCCCCACAGGCTCATGAGATCGAGGCCTTTATTAAACTTGTCGATGGGCTCCGCGAGAAGCAGGCAGAGCGTGCTGTCGCCGAAAACTGGCCTAACCCAGAAAAGTGCGTCGTTGGAGTTCACTGTCATTACGGCTTCAACCGCACAGGATACTTTATTGTGTGCTACCTTGTTGAGCGGTGCGGCTATGGCGTCCGAGAGGCTATTGACGCGTTCGCCAGGGCCCGACCTAATGGGATCCGTCATTCTCACTTCTTGGACAGGCTATATGTGCGATACAATGTGGATGCTATCCCTCATACTGAGACTTGACATCATCGCCATCATGTCAGTATGAGATCTTGATCCGGGGGGGTAGGCGGATGGGGAAGTGTTGTTAAATCGAAAAGGGGGGTTCTTGTTGGGTTAGCAGGCTGGCGTCTGGATGATTGATTGTCTTGTGCAAAGAAAGCGAATGAATAGATGGCTGGGCCAAGCGTATGGATTTGATAGTATGGTTCTCTTGGGATGGAAGGGTGGAGTTGGCGTTATGATCTATGGATATCAACATTTCATACTGAGATAGCGCCTTTGTCGAATTGATAATAGTCTCACTTTACCATGATGATTCACTTTTTTGAGACTCTTGGTGTTGTTTGAAACAGAATAAGTTGTCTCGTCTGCCTACCCAACGACCATTGATCTCACAGTCATATTCTAGTGACGACAACTACTAAAGTCAAGAGACTAAGTCAAACGTGGATATTCCAACATGTTACTCCCCGTGTTGCCCAGTATCAGTTCTCCCTGAAAACAATTATCGAAACCATCCGTGAATCATGAATGCCTATACCCAAGCTCCAGTTACATTCTGTAAACATCCTCCTCTTCAATGCGATCTCTAGCGATAGCTTCTATAATGCCATCTATTCTAGATCGACTCGAGGATATGGTACTCAGCACTGCCAAGAACCGATTCCTCATCTAGTTCATCTGAACCCTTGAGAAGAGACTTGTCCATCTTCTCCTTGAGTTCTTCGGTAATGACATCCACGTCGACATCGAGGTAATTACGCAGGAACTTTCCAACCTCAGTGTTCTCAACGTTGCCACGGATGGCGTCGGTGCCCGGACCACCAGAGCTGTAGATGTTGACATCAACGGCCGTGTGTCCGTGAGTGCTCCATCCAACATGGGCCCGCAGGGAGATGAGGGCTGAGAAGAGGACAAGAGCGCTCTCAGGGTGCTCAGCGATGGTGGTGATCTCCTTGTCCGAGGCGTTGGAGATACCAAGGCCGCGGATGATGAGCTCCTCGTTGATATACTTCTTGAGCTTCTCCAGGTCCTTCTTCGAGTTAGATGAAGACGAAAGATGGACGTGGAGCTTGGCCGCGAGCCACTCAGCCGAGGCGGTAGCGTTGGCAAGGACCTTGGGGTACCAGTTGTAGACTGGGAGGTGACCGGGTTCCTGGATGGCGGTGGCGAGACCACCAGTTTCATGGTCGCTGGTCGCGACAAGGACGGTTTCAGTCTTGCTCTGCTTGATGAAGTCGAGAACAGCCTTGAAGGTCTTGTCGTACTCGAGGACCTCGTGGACTTGAGCCGCCGGGTCGTTAATGTGACCGGCGTGGTCGATTCTGCTCCCCTCGATCATGATGAAGAAGCCCTTGTCGCTCTTCTCGGTCGCCTTCTCAAGAGCGCGCAGAGCAGTTGTGGCCATCTCACTCAGAGAAGGGTAGATATCGTTGAGGTTTCGGCGATCAATCTCAAAGGGAATATCAGAGGGGGCAAAGAGACCCAAGAAGGGAAGCTCGACGTTCTCGCCGCCCTTGAGTGCATCAAAGCCAGAGCGGCTATCGGTATAAGTCCAATTGTGCTTCTCAGTGGCAAGCTTAATAACGTCCGTATCATCGGCTCGGCAGCTGCCCTCAGTTCCCTTGGCGAGGTAGTTGCATCGACCACCACCAAGCATGAGGTCTACAGTTCGTCCAAGGGCGCCCTCGCCGATCTGCTGGAGAGCGATCTCGTCCTCCATTTCTCGGACTCTGACATGGGAGTTGAAACAGGCAGGTGTAGCATCCTCGATCTTGGTTGTAACAACGAGACCGGTATGGTATCCGGCGCGTTTCGCAGCCTCGAGCACGGTTCCGCAGGGGTCGTGGTTGGGCAGGACGGCGATGGCACCATTGTAGCTCTTCTTGCCGCAAGAGAAGGCGGTCGCGCCGGCAGCACTGTCGGTGACGAGAGAGCTGGTGGAGCGAGTACGGCTGGATCCCCAAAAATGCTTGTCGAGCGTCAAGACGTCGTCGTGAGGGAGGCCTTGGACGAACTGTCTATAGCTGCGGGTCAATGACAGCGGCGCGGGGCCCATGCCGTCAGAGACCATGAAGACGAGGTTTCGCTTCGCCGAGGGAACATTGCGGTCGTGTCTCGTCTGCTGCTCGTGCTGTGTCCAGACGGCAATGACGATGACTGCGGCGGTGGCTACAAGAGCCCAGACGAACAGGCCGAGCTCGCGAATGCGCGAGTGCCGGACAGCCTTGCGATGATCTGCGTCATCGGAGCGGTCGTGACTGGACAAGAGAGGATCGCTTTCGTTGGCCTCATGGAAAGCCATTGTTAGCTGAAAATGTGCGTAACAGCTTCGTGATACAGGGAGTAAGACAAACCATGGTTAAGAATGACGGGCCAGCGTCGAGTGAGGTTGATGGAATAAAGGGAAGAGTTTAGAGCTCCGGCGAGGCAGCGAACGATAAGAAGGCCACCCTGGTGGCGTCTCAGTAAAGTTCCATCAGGCAGGGCGCGGGACCCGGAGACCAACAGGGGTCTCAACAGGGGTCTCTACCGCATGGGGCCGCTAACGCTCACTGGGGTGGACACGCTGCTCCGGAAGTGACATCAGTGGTTCACGTGGGAGGGACGGGAGAGGGTTTCATTTGCTCTGCTGCCGGACCCCAACCAGCCGTGTCTCTGTTCCTCCCAAACACAACCAATGAAGACTTCAAGTCTTGACCACGGGAGCATAACTTTTGACACATGTTTGAGATCATGAGGATTACTGTTTTGCCCGTTGCCTTGGGGACATTTCTAGATCTCGTCCGTCTTCCTGAACTAACTCTATTTATTTGGTCTATGACTGCACCTGACTCTATCCCACCATGACTGACTCTCCTCTTGCTTCGTCGAAACTTTATACTGACATTAGAAAAATTCTACCTCGAGTGCGGCCCGTCGTTTCAATAGCCTATTGACCCTCCTGAAAACCCGACACCATCTTATGCAGCAAGCTTCGGCCAAACTCCACACTGAGAGAATCCATTCGAATGGGTCTCTCAACGAGACATGCTCCTATCACCTCGCAATGTTGAAAGAAACCCCTCACCCAGAGGACGTGTTCCGAGTTTTGGTGTCAAACTTGCTACTCAGTGAGGGCGCTTCCTGAGGCAAGAGGTTGCGGACTCTCCCGGGTTTGTGGACGGTCAAGCGACCGATTTCGGCAAACCTCAACAAGTGACATACGATCCTAGTGGATTGCCAATGGACCAACATCGATGCAATGGACCCAATAGATGTTCGAACCTTAGTGACATTCTGGTGCCACGGACGGGGGGCTGTGGTTCTCTCGTCACGCTTTGAGGGACGGATAACCACGTTGCCTCTCGAAGCGAGTGATGACGGCTGTCAAACCGGTTCGCACAGGAGAAAGTTGCTACACACTCACGAGTAATGCTAGGAAGCTCCCAGCATGAAATGCATGAAGCTGTCTCGTTCGTTTAAACAAACCCTCCCAGTCGCGGATTGTGCGTTTGTGAGTGATGGATGGCAAATCAATTCTGCAATCCGCAGCAAGGCAAGATGATGCCGGCTGCGTCGACTGCAATCGGAATCCCACTGCCTCAAAAGAAGTCAGCCATCAGCATCGCCATGTCCCGTGCCTATCCGAGCACCTTTGTCGGGACACAGCGCGCAGCGAAAAAGACCGAGAAAGCTCACCCCCGGACCAAGATGCCCCCATGTGCGGCTACATCTTATTAGTGAACCTCTGCGGATGTTATGGCGGCTTCGAGTTTGATACGTCCTGCCACCGGATCTTTGAAGAGCTGAACAGGATAAACGATGCCGACGCCTGGGGTCCTGATACCATTAACGAGCTGCCCTTTTCATTCCCCGACGAGTGCGTTCCTGGCTGGCACAACACGCGCTTCATCATGACCTACAGGGTCTGTTGCTCTCAGTGGTGGTCTAATTGCCCTTCGGTTACGGTTCCTGGCTACCCATGTCTCTACTACTACCTGGAGGACGTGTAGCATCGAAAAAGAAACATTGGCGATTGTACGATACTGGTGAAGATACTAGACGGAACCAGCTCGCGCTGAAAGGGGGTGGAGTTCAAGGCGTGACAGGTGTGTTGACTTGGCGTTTGGAGACAGGAGTAGTCATTTCGAGGTCGAGGTGGGTTTGGGGGCGTTATTCAGACAGGTCATGTTATTTACTCACGATATTGTCAGGGAGATAAGCATTCAGCAGAAAACGCCCCTCTCAATACGGCAACACATTCTTCAACTGTTGCATGTTGGCTTCCGTCAGGACCCTCAGCTTGATATGTGGTGTCTGGGACCTTTTTGTGCTCTGCTGAACATGATCGACCGGTCAGAAATGGTCGAAAATAGTTCCGCCGGCTGTGTTATACGACGCCAGACGTTTCCTAGCGTCTGAAGCAGGGCCGTTGTGACGTCGTGCCGGGGCTGAGATACATGTCAGAGTCGAGGATGGCTTCAGAGATGAAGAGAGGTTGTACCTTAGAGGAGCTGAGGAGTGGGAGGTGACATGGAGGTTGTCCCCGTTTGGCCGGCCGCAGGTGTCAAAGGTCATGCCCCTTGATTGTACTGAGTGTTTTGAAACGTCCTACCAATGAGGCCGTCGTGATAGTTATCCAAAGACTACAAGCGACCCTCCTTTTCGCCTGTGAAAACCCCTAGACGCGAGCCGATTCTCTTACACCGAAGTTCTTTAACTTTTACGCCTGGACGGGTCTTTAAACATTACCTCAACCCGCAGTCTCCGTATCAACGGCTGCCCTGGAATTTCAAGAATTCTCTTACTGGGATAGAGATGGTTTCCTTACTGGTGATGATGTTTCCGACGCTGAACGCCTTGGCCGACAGACAGATCTTGGCCAAGGATCTCAGGAGGTAATTCTATGAATAAAAAATACAAAAATTCTTTACTTATTTCTAATAAAAATTCCATCATCTTTGACAACACTCAACTTTGAGAATGACGAACCTGCTGATTTGTCGCCCAGACGGCAGATTGTGGGCTGAAAATGCTTGTTCAGAAGCTTGGCCAAAGGCAGTATGTAACTGAGCATCGGCGATTGGCGTGGGGAATTTGACGCCCAGGTCCATGCATCCCTTGGAGCGAAACACGCAGCAACGTCATAATTGGTGATGACCTCCAACAGGGGACGGATAATCGGCTTCGAAATTCGAGACGAACAGCTGGCACTGGCACTAGCTGAGCCGAGCGACGCCTGAATCATTCCCGCTGACATTACCTGGTCGGTTTCGCTGCTGGCCGCTGACGGTGGCTTCACTTCTGGATGGTCGAGGCCCCAACCAATCCCTGAAACCAATCTTGGTGCTGACCGGTGTTCCCCTGCGTCGCGACGCTCCATCCTTGAATGCGAGGCCAGCTCGCACTCGACTTTACCCTTGAATTTATTTTCGGCTTCGTATTACCTGATGGACATAAACGGGTCTTTTCCTTTTCACCCCTTTCTGCCCACTTGAAGTGGTTCCTGGTGGCTTGAGCGGCTGCTGTAGATCATCCTTTCTTCAATCCTCCAAGTTAAACCTTCAATCATCGGCCTCTCCAATCTTCAGCGTTCGCTCTCTCCCCCGACAACATCATGCCTCAAGACGACGAGGACGAAGGCCGCCCGAGCCATTCCTCCAACACCAACATATCTAACCAGGGCGACGACAGCAGCGATAGCCGCCATGTTCGATACAACCTCACCGTCGATACCCAGAACCTCTCGCCGCCCCAGGCCACTCCCAACAGGCCTGCGCGATCCGACACTGAGCTGCATCGCCAGATGACCTTTTCGCCCTCGCTACTGCGTCGCCGAGTGACTCGCGCCCCGACCTTCAAGACTGTGGAGGACTACGATGAATTTGATACCACCTTTAGCGCCCGCCCTGGCTGGCAGCCCGGCTCTGAGCCTGGCTACGACCCAATGCTCCCCGATGGTGGACATGCGTCAATGCCGACTTTGACAGCGCCCTGCGAGATCTCCGTTATCGACTTTTCGCAGCAGGCCGTGATCAAGCATCACTTTGACAACGAGGGCTTTATCAACTTTCTGGAGTTGCCCCAGGAGGATTGGGTCAAGTGTCGCTGGATCAATGTTAATGGACTCAGCTGGGATGTGATACAGGCCGTGGGCAACAAGAAAGGACTACACAAGCTCGCGCTGGAGGATCTGATGCAGATTAGGAACCGGACAAAGGCCGATTGGTATCCCAACCACGCCTTTATTGTCATGACCCTGCAGAAGCTTGTTCACCTGGTCGACGACGACGACGACTCGACCGATACTAGCAGTACCTACTCGAGCAAGTCGTTCAACGCACTGAGGGGATCCATCAGGGATCTCTGGAGGAGTCGCAGGACGTCGGACCCGGAGAAGAATGCGGCCCCTCATGGACTGCGACCACAGGATGTCACCACAGATCTTCAAGAGACTGGCATGATCCGGACGCTGCAGCGATACCATGCCTCTGGGAATGAAGCGCGGACTGAGTTTATGGAGAATCACTCGTCTCTCGCGCCTTATCAGATGGCCATCTCGGCGGAGCAGGTCTCCATCTTCTTGACATCGGACAATACCGTCATCTCCTTCTTCGAGGTCTCGGCTGGGGACATTGAGCGTCCCATCTTTACGCGCCTTAGCACGCCGGGTACCATCCTGCGGGAGTCTAACGACGCGTCCCTGCTATGCCAGGGCATCATTGACGCCATTATCGACCTTGCCATTCCCCTGACGGCCGTGTATACGGATATCATTGCCGATATCGAGATCGATGTGCTCACGGCCCCGAGCGTCACGCAGAGTAAGAAGCTCTACATCTGTATCAGCGAGATCAACAAGATGCTAAGCTTCCTCAACCCTATCGACAATGTCGTCAACGTTCTTCGCGACCACAAGACGTACATGACCCACGATCAGGCCCAGAAGGAGCTCGGGAACGCTGGATCCGGCGTCATCATCACCCCCATGACACACACGTACCTTGGCGACGTGCTCGATCACTGCATAATGATCACCGAGTCCCTTCAGCAGCTCAAGCAGTCGTCGGACAATTTGATTGATCTCATCTTTAATACTATTTCTGCTGGACAGAACGAATCGATGAAGCAGCTTACTACCGTCACCATTATCTTCTTGCCGCTTACGTTTATTACTGGATTCTTTGGTCAAAACTTTGACGAAGCAACGTTTCCCGATCTCCACCATCCTATTTGGTATTTGTAAGTTGTTCTCTCTCTGATGTCTCTAATCATATGCTAATGATTAGCACAGCTGGGCTTGTGCTGTGCCTACCGTGGTCGCGACCATCCTAATTCTCATGAGAGAGATGATTTACAACTGGCTTGTCCGCATCGTGCAAAGGAGACAAATTGTCACGCTCAGAAAGAAGAAGAAGAAGAAGACGAGGCAGCAAAAGATCAAGCTCAAGGTGTAATGGCTTTGATTGGATATGTAGTCGCAGCATTGGATGATTTGATGATACCCAAACGTTGAGAAACAGAACAGGATATTTCCTGCTGAAGGGATATAGAGGCCGGATCGGCATATACACTTGATTCCACAGACTTGTTTTGGCTTTTGAATCAAATTACTTGGATTGAATCTCAATCTGGTACCTAATAGTATCTATCTGTTGTGCGGCAATTGTTATGGTTATTCATCTATGAGCGCCTGAGCCAGAGTCCTTCATTCGACGAGGACGAGGAGCTGCTCTCCGAGTCGACAGCATAGTTCCCAGAGGAGCCAACCTCCATTATCCCCTGACCATCCAATGCCGATGAAGAGAGACATCCTCCACTTTGCTCTGCCCTCTTGAGAGCGTTCCAGTAATGGCTGAGGACATGGTCGAACGAATATGTCAGCATCGCCTCCATACGATCCTTGGGTTCCATCCTCTCAACTTCCGAAACCTTCTCCTCGATTCTTGTCACAGCAGTTCTGAAGCGCTTAGCGTTAGAAGCCACGGCAAAGAGGAAAAGACGTCCAAATAGGTGAAGCCAATACTGCATGGCCTCGCGCTGGGGATGCCACAGACCATAGCGGAACACCAGCTTGGGCTTCGTGTCTGGTGCAAGGTCCAGCGCCACCGTCATCTCGCCGGCAGTGTTCTTGAGCATGCCGGAAAGCTCGGGCAGTGTGACTGCGCTCCAGATTATGTGGATGCGTTCCTGGAGTAGTTGGTTCTTCAGCTGGGGGATGTAGGTGTCCATGATGTCCGCCTCAACTGGGAACGAAGGTCGTGACAAGGCCAGAATCCGCTCGCGCTCATCTTGGTCAAGGGAGCCCTCTTGGAGAAATTTGCTTGGCCTCATGGCAATGTTGGATGACTTTGTGATTGGGACATAGTGACTGAGCTTAGGGTCTTTGGTCTCAGGTCGCAGCGAGAGGAGAAGCTCTGGCTCCAGAAGCCAGACCAGCGTGATCGCCTTCTTGGCATCTGTAAGGTCGAAGCCTTCATGCTGGAGGCTCATATATACCCGGAGCTGGCAAGTCGAGTTGCTGTGCATCTTGATGTTGGTGCGGAGAAGGCCTAGGACGGTTTCCATATCGATCTTGCCCCTGAAGGGGGAAATTGGGGCCATTCCTGACTGGGCGGTTCCTCGTCCGAGGTCTTGATCTCCATATCGGTCTCCTGGGAGGATGGAGAGCAACGAAGTGTAGGGACAGCGGAGGCGAACTCCGACCCAGTCGTAGTCTCCGGGGCTACTAGAGGTAGCAATAGCGTTGCGAGCTGGGGTGAAGAGCCAGTAAGCCATGCGATGGTCGCCGCCGCTTGGCTCTTCGCCTTTCACAGGCTTCTCTATAGTAAAATCAAGATCATCCGAATCCGCGTTGTCGTTCTTATATGCAACGGCGCCTTGGACGCAAGGCTTGCTCGTGAGAGTGCGCCCGAGGTACTCAGCGCAGTGCTCGACACATGTTGCTGTGGGGTTGGGCGCGGTGGCAGGACAAGCCCATCGGGTACGGCCGTCTGCCTCTGCGGTGTAAGTCTGACCGGGCTTCTCTTTGGCGACGAGAAAGTCGACTTCGACGCTCCATTCGACGAGGTCACCCCAGTTGGTGTGCTGGGGGTGACCAACGAGGCTCTGTGATGAGGAAAGAATATCCGACATTGGTGGTCTGTATACCTAGGAATACTCTGGTCGGGATGGCGGTCTGTGTTGATTTGGGAACCGATCAGGGGCGCCATCGATGAGGATATATATAAGATGAGCCCGTGGGTTTCCTTCTCTCCTGGACGTGGATCGCTGTGAAGCCATGCTGTGAAGAGCGACGAACAAGGATGACGGAGATAATGAATCAGGAATATTGTATAGAGCTATGTACTGAGAAGATGTTGAAGAGAGAGTGAGAAAGGGGGAAAGTGCGATTCATTGTTCCCTTTATGGACGTGATGCAGAGTAACAAAGGCGAGAAAAAGGACTAACCAATGAGTTGAATACACCTCATCGGGCTCAAGAATGGCGGTGACAAGGAAATAATTTCAGAACTGCGCCGCCTCTCTGAATATCTGACATGGAAGCCGATTGTTGCCAAGACAATGGGGAGGGATTGCCCATGAAACAATCACGGGCCGATGGGTAGCTTGTCTAACTTGTGACTCTGTGTCATGTTGGTGAGGTGTTACAGCTGCGGATGGCTGTTTCTCAAAAGAGATCTTTTGCAAATGCGAGAGATTTGCTCTAGTTGTCCAAGTAGAGAAACATCCCCTATTCGGGAGTGTGTGTGTGTGTGTGTGCTAGTCTCCATAGCATGAAGGCAGTCTTTGACATGCTTTCCGCTCCAAAAGCCAAACAGCATCAAACTTATGGATAACGGTAGATTTGCCGTGTCGTATAGATCCATGATATCGAGACAGCTGTGCAACCAAGGCCAGGGTCATCGGGACGAGCCTTGTGTGACACCCAGGGGCTGGCCCTGTATAGTAGGCAGCGGACGCACGTGGATAGCCGGGCTATCAGACATCTCAGCTGTCGCAAGAAACAATAGCAGCGAGAATGACCCCTGGCGACCTTATCCCGGTGACCTATGTGCCCAGTGACAAGCCCAGTTGCCCATCCGAGGCATGGTTGGATTCTGAAGCATCCTCGCCATCATTGTTACTCTACCTATCGGACCATAACATTAAAAGGCCAAATTAGCATAAAATGGTTCAAAATATGCCTCAATAGGTACTTGACCAAATTCATTGACCAAACAATATCTGCCAGCTCGAGGTGATGGTGTTGAGGTCATGAGTGATTACGTAAAGCCGGAGCTCAAGCTTGGGCCGTCTGGAGCCTGCAGGCAGCAACACCCATTCTCGGATCACCAAGCCCCAGCTGAAGCTCACTTGTTTACATCAGTGGAGCTTACAGTCCTCCCTTCTTCTTACATCCAACCTATATATACCCCAACAAGAAGAATGTGAACACCGGAAAGCTTTGGTGATTCTTTCTCGTTTTTTTGCGCTAGCTTTAATGCCGGAGTGTCAGCAACGTTCTTACGTCAATACTCCCCTCATACAATCTCGCATACTCTCATCATGGGAAGTCAACAGGAACAAAGACCCCAGACCGAAGATGCGAAACATGAAGATGAGATTCAGTACGGCACAGTAGGAATTACCCAGGAGGAAATGGAGGAAAAGTGAGCCCATTTCTACCAACTGCCCTGGCAATAATTAACATCGTCCAAGATATCCGAACCGCCCAAAGAATCACTCAAAGACCCTAGTCTTCTCTGAGCTGTTTCGAGAGTTGTTTAATCCATTAAGCGAAAACAAGAAGCAAAATGCCACCGGCGCAGGCCCTAGAAAGGCATTCAGAGGTGTCAATAAGCTCTCACCCCACGAGCAGCGACGACACATTATCGAGCGCTTCATCATTCGATGGCGCAAAGAAGTCGGTCCCGATTTCTACCCTGCCCTGCGTCTAATTCTCCCCGACAAGGATCGCGATCGAGGTGTTTACGGCCTCAAGGAGAATGCAATAGGAAAGCTCCTGGTCAAGTTGATGAAGATCGACAAGAGCTCCGAGGATGGCTACAATCTTTTGCACTGGAAGTTACCTGGTCAAACCACTGCCTCTCGCCTGGCTGGCGACTTTGCTGGACGATGCTTCGAGGTCATTTCGAAGCGCCCGATGCGCACAACTGTCGGTACCATGACAATCGCTGAGGTCAACGAGCAGCTGGATAAGCTTGCTGCGTCTACAGGAGAGACAGAGAATCTGCGTATCTTTGAGACTTTCTATAACCACATGAATGCCGAAGAGTTGATGTGGCTTATTAGGATCGTCTTGAAGCAGATGAAGGTCGGCGCCACGGAAAAGACCTTTTTGGATCTCTGGCACCCGGACGGCGACGCCCTCTTCAGCGTGTCTTCGAGCTTGAGACGAGTATGTTGGGAACTTTCCGACCCCGAGATTCGGCTCGAGCAGGATGAGGCGGGCGTTGCCCTCTTGCAATGCTTCCAACCGCAACTTGCCCAATTCCAGATGCCTGCGTCTTTTCAGAAAATGATTCAGCTTCTCCGACCGACAGAGGAGGACCCTGAATTCTGGATCGAGGAGAAGCTGGATGGCGAGCGTATGCAAATGCACATGGTCGAGGACAAAAAGCACCCTGGCGGCCGAAGGTTTTGCTTCTGGTCAAGAAAGGCCAAGGACTACACATACCTCTACGGCGACGGACTTCAAGACGAGAACTCGAGTTTAACACGGCATCTCAAGAAGGCCTTTGCATCAGGTGTCAAGAATCTGATTCTGGACGGCGAGATGATTACCTGGGATATGGGCGTTGACAAGATAGTCCCTTTCGGCACTCTCAAGACGGCCGCTCTCGCAGAGCAGCAGAACAAGTCGGATACAAACTCGGCTGGTCACCGTCCCCTATTCAGGGTCTTTGATATCCTCTACCTCAACAATAAGCCCTTAACTCAGTATACCCTCCGAGATCGACACCGCGCTCTAGAAAAGGCCGTCAAATCTGTTCATCGACGTCTTGAAATTCACAACTACACCAGCGCAACAACTTCTGATGCTATTGAACCACTTCTCCGCGAAGTTGTTGCCAACGCGTCAGAAGGTCTCGTACTCAAGAATCCTCGTTCAATGTACCGCCTCAATCACCGAAACGACGATTGGCTCAAGGTCAAACCTGAATACATGTCCGAGTTCGGCGAGTCCCTCGACTGTGTCATTATCGGTGGCTACTACGGCTCAGGGAAGCGCGGCGGAATGCTTTCGAGTTATCTGTGTGGTCTACGAGTGACACAGAACCACATCCAAGCGGGCGCAAATCCTGAAAAGTGCTTCAGTTTTTTCAAGGTCGGAGGTGGATTCCGTGCCGAAGACTATGCAGAAATCCGACACCGAACAGAAGGAAAGTGGATTGAGTGGGATCAAAAGAACCCGCCCTCAGAATACATCGAGCTTGGAGGAGGTGAGCTCAGACAGTATGAACGGCCAGACATGTGGATTCGTCCTAAAGACTCGGTCGTTGTTTCAGTGAAAGCAGCGAGCGTTGGTCCTTCAGACCAGTTTGCTCGTGGATTCACTTTGCGCTTCCCACGATTCAGGCGTCTCCGTTTGGATCGGACATGGGACACTGCCCTATCCCTAGAGGAGTTTCAGGAGCTGAAAGATCGGGTTGATGAAGAGTCAAAAGAGAAGGCCATGACGGTTGAAGACAGAAAGAGACGGAATCCCAAACGAATCAAGAGGGAGCTTGTTATAGCTGGAGAAGATTCAGCGCCGGTCGAGTTTGAGGGCGAGAAGACGAAGCTTTTTGAAGGGTTGGAGTTTTGCGTCCTTTCTGAAGCTCTGAAGCCCTACAAAAAGACTAAAACCCAACTCGAGTCCATTATCAAAGAAAACGGAGGTACCATTTCTCAAAGAGCGGCACCAGGTACAAACATGGTGCTTATTGCCGACAAGAAGGTGGTCAAAGTGGCGAGTCTCATGAAAGGAGGAGACGTGGACCTTATCCGTCCCAAATGGATCAAAGATTGCCTGGAGCAGGATCTGGGACAATTTCTGCTGCCGTTTGAGGAATCACACTTGTTTCACGCTACAGAAGCGATGAAGCGCGCGGCGGAGCAGAACACGGATCAGTTTGGAGACAGCTACGCTCGAGACATGTCCATTGATGAACTCAAGGATCTCATGGACTGTATGCCCAAGATCGAGGACGGGGAGCCATTCAACAAGAATGAGTTTCTACAGCAGCTTGAAGATCACGGCAAAGATCTGGGCAACTTGAGGAGCTTTATTTTCCGGCGCTGCGTGGTGTTGTTCCATGGGGTGGACACCGGTATCAATCGGGTCTCTCGGTTGAAGCACTTTGTCAAGTATGGTGGAGGAAGTGTCACTGAGGACGCAGGCGACTTATCTGTGACACATGTTGTGATAGAAGGAGGAGATCCAATGCAAATGGGTGAGGCGGCCGATATGGTGCGTAAGGAGCTGAGCTCAAGACGCACACAACCCAGGGTGGTGGCTGGAAAATGGATCGAGGATTGCTGGAAGGAGGGCACATTGCTTGATGAGGAGCAGTTTGTGGTTCCATGAAGAACGATGGGTATTTAACAAGTGTATACTACCTAGCCTTTATGTTTATTTATGCCTTGAGGATTAGACGCCATCAAAACGACCGACCATGGAAGCTTATTTTCCAAGAGTCAAGAACAGTCGGTCTCCAACGTCTCCCAGGCCGGGCTTAAGCATGCCAGTTGATGTCAACTCCTTGTCGACTCCAGCAATCCACACCTCTGAGCCCTCAGGCCACTCGGCAGCAACTCTCTTGACACCCTCCTCGGCACCAATGACAGCGAGGATGATAATCTTCTTGGCTCCCCATTCACGGAGGGTCTGGATGGCGGCGGCGCAGGTTCCGCCAGTAGCGATGACGGGGTCGACGAGGATGGCAAGGCTGCTAGCGTTGCTTGACGAAGCTTCGTCATCGGGGATCTGCTGGGGAAGGTTGTTGTAGTACTCGACGGGGTCCAGCGTTGAGGGTTCGCGGTACATGCCGAGGTGATGAACCGGGACAGGTATGGGGAGGATGGTTTGCACAGCTGGAGGCGTGTTAGTTCAGCCCGTGGAGAGATGGAGGGAGAGACAAACCTTCAACCATGCCTAGACCTGATCGGAGGATAGGAACTAGACACATGGTGCTTGGCTGGACGGTTGTGGAAGTAAATTGGAAACCCAATGGGGTCTCATCCTGTTGATGGATGGTCAGTACGTTTGGAAGCTTTTGACTTGGCGCATGAACTCTGATACCTGAGGACCATCGGTGACTTCCAGCGACGAAGCTAGGGCTTCACACGAGACGATTAGGGAAATCTCATGGATCAGCGCCTTGACCTCTCGCGGGCTGATGGACTTGGAGCGAATCTGGCTCAGCTTGGCGCGGAGGCACGGGTGCTGAGACACATGGACGTTGGAGGGCAGCGAAGACATTGTGTATGTACGCGACCGCTGAGACAAAGGCTAGATAAGGATATATGTCAATCTTGTGGTTTCACGGTAGTAGGATGGATCTGTTGAGAGTAGGATCTACAGATGAAGCACCACACGAGGGTTGCTGGGACGAGGCCAAAGAGAGGGAGAAGGAAAAGAAAGAGAGAGGAGGGGAGAGAGGGAAGAGGAGGAGACGGGCCCCTTTTGTATTCAGTACTTGGCGCATCTCAGAGACACAGGCTCTACATCGTGTACAGTACTACCTGACTTACAGCGACCTGCTTCACCGGGTTGGATCACAAGGACGGAAGCTGGTGGGGTATTGCAGGCGGGAGCTTCCAGTGCTTTGGACGGGCGGCGGCGGGGTGAGATAAGATAAGAGCTTCGGAGCTCACCGCTGGGACACACGGGACGGAGTGAAACGCGGTGAGCTGCGAGGTAGAGGGTACTTATTGCTAACATGTTGTTATCTGACTGGTTGTCTCCTGACTCTAGCAAGGATTAGAACGAATTGAACAGTCTTTGATGGATCCTTTAACACTATCATCAAGTATCTGAATGTTCCTTAATGGCCGTCCATCTCCCTGCGTTATCTCACCCCTGGACCCTGGTCTCAATGGGTCCCTCTCTAGGTACCCACCCGACTCTTCCTCCACCTCCACAATGACAAACTCGACCAGGCGCCGCCCATGGCAGCCTCCCGGAATGTTTCTCCTTCCGAATGCCGTCATACCCGACAGTTCCATGCCACTAACACGATCAACAGAGATTTTTCATTTCGTCTCGAGACTTTTGTAACGGCTGATTTTTCGAGTTTAAATATGTTTTTGTTCCACTGTCAGCGTCGGTTCAGTTCGCTGCGACAACTGGATTGACGATAATCAAAAATTCCGACGCGAAATTCACACCATTTGCGCCTCGATCGAAATCGTCGATTTGCTCAACATGGACGAGATTGCTCCTGAACAGAGGCGGCGCGGTAGCTCTGGGGTTTACAACGCACCAAATTCTTACACTGAGCTGGGAGAGATCCTCGCGCAACAGCCGATCGACGAAGATGCTGTTAGCGACACCGAAGCTCCAGCGCTGGACCCCGTACAACGACGCGACTCGGGTGTTTACAGCGTTCCTCGATCGTATAGCAACCTCGACGAAGTATCCCCTGTTCCACCGATCGAGGAGCCTCCAGAGGAGTCTGAGCAAGATGTACGAGACCGGCCGAGACGACGCAGTAGCTTTGCCCGTCACGAGGGGCCGATTTTCGAGCCAGAGCCTATCCCGGAGGAGGCAAAGGAGAGGAGTGTATCCAGACTGGCCACCGAGCTATACACGCACTCGTATCTAATATTCTTTGCGATTCTTGGAACTTTGGCTCGGTTAGGTCTGACAGCTTTGACGCGGTACCCTGGCACTCCCGTCATCTTCAACACAATATGGGCAAACTTTACAGGAAGCGCAGTTATGGGATTCCTAGCTGAAGACCGTAAACTGTTTCGCAACGAATGGGGCAACGCAACATACGACGAAGCGATCAAGCAAGCCAAGCAAAAGCACAAGGACGAAGAAGATGGGTCTAGTTCAAGTCAACAAAAGGACGTGGATTTGGCGGCTGCGAAGAAGGCGCATCTGGCTATGAAGAAGACGATACCCCTATACATTGGATTGGCTACGGGGTTTTGTGGGAGTTTTACCACGTTTTCGAGCTTTATCAAGGACACGTTTCTTGCCTTGTCGAATGAGATGGTAACGCCAGGATGGCCAGATTCGCCGACAAGTCGTAATGGGGGCTACTCGTTTATGGCTATGCTGTCTGTGATCATAGCCACCGTATCACTCTCACTCTCGGGTTTGTTCCTCGGGGCTCATATCGCTATTGGTCTTGAGCACATCACGCCAACCATCCCCTTTACTCTGAGTCGCAGGGTGCTTGATCCTTTGGGCGTTTTCCTCGGTTGGGGTTGCTGGCTTGGAGCCGTGCTTTTGGCTATCTTCCCACCACATGAATCTTGGCGTGGTCAGGCTCTCTTCTCGCTTGTGTTTGCACCATTGGGCTGCCTGGTTCGGTTCTATCTGTCCTTGCACCTCAACGGCAAGATGGCGACGTTTCCCGTCGGTACATTCGCCGCCAACGTTCTCGGTACAGTACTGCTTGGTATGGCATATGATCTCGCTCATGTGCCCCTGGGCGGCGTCGTGGGTTGCCAGGTGCTGCAGGGGATCGAAGATGGTTTCTGCGGCTGTCTGACGACGATATCGACTTGGGTTACTGAGCTTGGAAGTTTGCGACGGAGGAGTTCCTGGATATACGGAACGACAAGTGTTGTTGTGTCGCTTGTGCTGATGATTGCCATTATGGGGGGTCTACGGTGGAGTGACGGGTATAGTAAACTGCTGTGCAAGGTATAGAACGGTTTAAAGACATAGACTGCTAAAGAATAGTTATTGCCCTCGAGTTCACAACTCGGTTGTTAGTCTTGATGCTTCCTTTGCCTGGGTGAGTGCAAGCCACGTGGATGATGGAGCTTTCTGCCGACTGAATTGAGAATCAACGCAGTCCGGCAGAGATCAGGTCTTAACAGTACGCCTGAAATTGAAATGTGCACGTTCATTACAGCAACCGGTCTGATACATCGTCGAGGTGTGCTATGGTCAGTAAGATAGAGAAGGGGATTTCTGGCCCCCCATGGTTTCTGACCCCTCTAACTGCTCTGGAGAAAGGTAAGGTATACAGATTGACATCAATCAACTAACTAAATATGGAGTTTTTAACAGCCAAACAGTTCTATCCATAGCCTAGGGGGGGTCAGAAACCCCCTTCTCTATCTTAGGTACAACAAGACCATTCACCCCCGAATCACTGCGAGGCACCTGGATTGGCACCGGACGAATGAATAATAGGTATGGGACGAGCGGGCACAACAAAATGACGATGGTGTCAGTCTGTAGTTGCCTTTGTGAACTCCCTCGGCCCTCGAACTAACGTGCCTGGAACCAACGCAGTGTGGCAGGAGCTCCTGATTTAGTCAGCTCGTCCTGCCCGTTTGCTGGACCATCACTCTTGACTAGATATTGACTGTCGACCACCTGTTCAACCACTTCATCTCTCTATTTTCTTCCCTCTACCAATTTTCCTGTCTCGATTCGCATTTCTCTATCAACATTCACCGTTAATACATCAACTACGATCACTATCGTTCCGCCATGGACTCGGATCCCGTGGACTCGGATGCCATGGACTCGGATGCCATGGGCTCGGATCCTATCGACTCAGATCCTATCGACTCAGATCCTATCGACTCGGATCCTATGGAATCGGATTTCATGGGCTCGGATCCCATGGACTCGGATCTCATGGACCCGGATCTCATGGACCCAGATCCCATAGACTCGGATCCCATAGACTCGGATCCCATCGAGGCGGCAGGTCATATCCTCATGTCTATGGCTTCCGATGAACCACACACGCCACTCCCTGGAACAGACCCCCCTGAAGAAAAGCGTGAAGTGCCAGTCGTGGTCATATCACCAGCCTCCCCCGTAACCATGGATGCCGACACCCCTCCTGAAACCCCAATCAGGAACGACCTGTTGCGGCCGGAGGGTTTCCATACACTGCCCCTTGAGCTACGGATCAAGAAGCCTGCTTCCGTAGAAGAGGAAGTCGGGCCAGATGAGCCGCCAGATGGACTGCCAGGTGGAGAGTCAGATCCAATTTACTACCCCCTAGACTACTATCGCGACAAAACTGCGATGGATGACAAAACACCAGGTTCAGACACAAACAGAGAGGAGAATGAGCGTTACGATGGCCTTGCCCAGGAGTATATGAGTTACGCTATGGGGGAGCCTTTGGAAGATGCTCAAGCATCCTACGAAGTATCATACTGGGAGCTTCCAGTCGAAAAGCCTGCAGAGCTCACGATGCCGTGTGGACAGGCTTACAGGCCAGGGACCCCGAAACACTTCGAAGACCTCCCTCTCGTCGAACCAATCTGCTATAGACAGAATGAAGAAGGAGAAGCCTGCGGGCTGTATGCCAAAATCGGATGCCCAGGTTGTCACCTTATTGCTGTATGTCCCCCAGAATCATGACCGAATAACTGTGCTGACCTACTCAGTACTGTACTTTGGAATGCCAATTGGCCCATGCAGATGCCCACCGATGCCGTGGTGCCGAAGTAGAGCAATATCTCAAGCTTACGGACCAAAGCAATTTGTCTCCTGAAGATCCCAGCGAGATCCGCTACCCATGGGGATCGTGGCCCGCCATCGATGTCCTGCAACTCCAGAAGAACGAAGGTGTTGAATTTGATGGATTACTCAATATTCTATTGACTGGAGGTATGGCAGCCAGCATTGAATGCCCATCGTGTTCGAAATATGCTGACACTCAAAGATACAAGCCTTCGCACTCTTGTCAACACCATCGCCAACATTCCTGAAACAGCAAATCCTATACTCCATTTCTCGAGCAATGAGCTGGATACACAGCCGGTCGCCCAAACACTCACGGTCTTGCTTCTCCTAACAGATCGCTCCTGTGAGGATCGGTACAATGCTGAAGCAGCTGTCTATGCTTGGTACTCAAGCTCGATCCCCACTCCCATGATGAGACATATCCAGAAGGTTGCCCTAGGGCCGATCGTAGATGCTTTCCAGAAAGCCATGAGAGCCTACCTACATTACGGCGTCAAGTCAATGCCAATTCGGTTTCCTCGAGGGAACTGCTCAATTGTAGTCGACTTTACTTTAAGGGAGTGGAAGGCGGTCTTCCTCTACGTAACCTACACTAAAAAGACAGACATTCAAAAGCTAAAGCGCATGCGTTACTTTGACAGAAAACATTGTGAGGACATTCAGGACCGTGTCTAGAGGGCACCACATATGCGGATACTTGGGATGCTCAAGTGGGAGACGGATGGAATGCTTCAACCTTATGGCCTTCCTCTACGCAAAGATCTGATGATAAACCCGTATGTATCTATACTGGCCCCAAGTGTGATGGTCCTCAAGTGGCACGAGAACTGACAAGGGCAGGTTTTTGGTTACACCCACGGGCATCCCAATTGCCGGCATCACCAGCGAGCCTGTTACAGAATGGCCGATTTCGGCTATCCTTGGCCAAGATTCAGGCCCAGCAACAAACGACGTCTATGGCAAAATGTTTTACTATGTCCGTTCCCTCTGCCTCAAGTTTCAGCGACGCCTTCGGTCTGTACAGGTGGAGTTCAGTCTACTGCGACGAGATCCCTTGGCCCTGCCAACAATATTCAACAACCAAGGCCACAGAAGATTTGACCGTATTGATGTGAGAGCTCACATGTCTTGTCAGATAAAATACATGCTAACGAGGTTCAGACTGGCGCGCACTTTGACGTGGCTCCAATGGTTGTTGCCGGCCCCCTGAACTATCTCCTTCAACATGTAGACATGAACCCCCATGCGACCATGTTAGGCATATCCAGACTAGCTACGTTGGCCGCTTCCTCGGAACCGACAATGGAAGACATTGCAATGGAGGTTCGGCACTTTTACGCGCCAATGGGTACCAAACTGGACGAGCTCGCGCCGCCCGTGAACCGCGAAAACGAGTCATCTATTGATGGAACCCGTCGCACGTGGGGAATATTCATGTGGCGCAATTGGGACAAGTTTTCCGATCAGTAGGTGTTTCTCTCTGTTTAACTAATGGCTTCAGCTTATATGAGGTTCTGCAGTTATCTCAAGGCGCCTCATTATTTCCAAGAAATCTCCAAGCATGTCCTCGGGCATCATCCTCGTTTGAGCGGCCGCTTAGACACCAGATTTGCTGGCCTTGTCCTCAAAGCACGAAACACAATCACGACTCGCTGGCCTCACCGTCTCATCCATGCTCGCAGCAACACACCATCCCGGACAGACTTTGATAACTGGATGAGTTGGGGTTATCCTAACGGATTCCGATGGCTCGAATGGTCAAAGGTGACTGACTTATGTCCAGGAGCTTTGCATAATTGGTTTCAGCTGTGCTATTTCGAGGGTGAGATGGGCCACCGATGTACCCCTGAACAGTTCGCCGAGGTAGTTGCCGAAGGTATAGCCCCGTTAGTATCGGTCTTTCACCCCTCTGGGGAACTTGTGCATCCTCCCAAGCGAGAGGAAGGGGAGAGCTCGGGCGAAAAGAGAAAAGCAGAAGCAGAGGGGGAAAAGAAAGAAGAAGAAGCAGAGGGAGAGGAGTCCATGGCAGGTGGCGAAAGCCCAAAGAAAAAGAAAAAGAAGAAGAGCAAGAAGAAGAAGAAGTGATAAAGATAAGGCACAGGGACGTGGATGAGTTTATGCCGGCTACCGTGTATGATGTTAGACTTGTTTGAATACAAGAGGTGTAGCAAATTTGAGTAGGCACTTGGCAATTATTGCTGTGGTGTTTGGAATCACGAATTTATGATGGGCAATCAGTGACTTGATAGATGCAGCATGCGGAGTTGGGAGTTGCAGAGCTGCATTTTGACGTTATGGGGGGATATGAGGGTAGAAACCAGGCACCGAAGAATGTTACTGTTCTCTGTTTTTTTCCTTTTCTTTTTTTCAACACTCTCACTCAAGGTCTACTAGATTTGAAGGTGTCTTTTCAGCATTGTATCAGGCTGGGTCAATTGACGTTTGACTCAAACGCGGTAAGACTTGGCTCCGTGCCTAGACGGAGAACCACGCGTTCTCGTGGCTGGGGCCTACATCATAGGGCGGCTCGAAATAGGCAGGACACAGTCAACACTCCAAAGGAACCACTGTACGGATACATTCCTGTTTGATCTCACAAACAAAGGAGATGGGATGCCTCCCTCTCTTACCGCGATGATATCCGGTGTGAGTGATGTCGTGATACTTGGCGCAACTTGGGCTTGACTCAAACAAAGACCCAAGTAGCAAACTACCTTTTCGTCGATTAAGCATTCCGATAGTCAAGGCAGACATGGAAATGGCTCCAAGCCATGGCGGACACTTGGGACGTGTCTGGCGCCAGGCCAGGCAGATTTTCGCACGGAAGAGTCACTAGCCTGAAGCCTCTGAGCATAACGAGAATGCAGGCACAAGAATGTGCAACAAAGCTCGCCAATCTTGACCAATCAGGTTACCTTGCAGATTTAGAGCTGGGACCCGGCAGTTGGAGTCTTGTAGCCGTAGCGGCCAACGAAATATCCAACACCAGGTCCTCTTTGGTTGAGAGATTTCAGCCCTACCTCGATGGTGCCTCCCTGATCCTGGACATTGGGCAGCTTTGAGCCAATGGTTTTGTTCCTCTATCATGCTGCGTTCCGTTGCGGGAGAAAAAGCCTGGGACAGAGTCTAGGCCACCCGTCTCAGTTCGGTCTGGATCAGAAGCAAACCATTGGCATGGGGGAGAAACATCATTCGCACCCTTTTCCGTGACCATGTCCCCACGGGGTTCTCGCATTTCATTTGTTAGGTCCCCGAAAATAGGTGGTCATTGTCGCACAAGCTAGCACTGCATGACGGGAGAGAGAAGAGCTCAGCTGGACCACCGCTTGTTGGCGCAAGCCTAAAAAAAAAATCGAGGGCTTGAGGCCGTAGAGAAACCAGCCACCTCTAGGATCTAGGCCTGGACCGTCGCGGCGGTGGGCCAAGTGAAGCTTGCTCATGCCCGTTGAACTGGCTCCAATGGTAGGAAGCCATGGCTTGCAGAGAGGCGTCGTGGGCGTTGGGATGGGCTTTGGTTTATGTACCGGCGTGGCTCCCACCGTGATGAAGCTGCCTGTCGACCTCTATTTCTTACTATTCATTCTTCTATCGCTGTGAAGAGACCGCAGGGTCGTCCTCGCCATGTATCCAAGCCAGGCCGGCGTCAACGCTTCTGCGTTTGACGCCCGCTACGAACCGCAAGCGACCGACGACTCATCGTGGGACCGCGACGGGCCCAAGTTTCCTTCCTCGCGGCAGAAGAGGGCCAATTACCGACCCACGGCTCTCCGGTGGTACTTTATCGCCGGGCTCATAATCTGCATCATGGCCGTCATGGGTCTTGTTGTCTGGGCGGAGCTCCAGATGCCCAACTCGGAAGAGACTGCGACGATTATAGACAAGAGAGACCAGATTGAGGAGAGACAAGAGGTTACTGGTGGACAGAGGGTTTCTACTACGCTTATCGTGAGCGAGTTTACAAAGTTGGTTACTGTGCCTGGCACGACGGGCAAGTTTACCACCATGGTTCCGACGACTACGTATGAGACTTCCTGGAACTATTCGACGACTGTCAAGGACGGCTCGACTATTGTCAGCTCCGACGTCACCGTCGTTCCAACAGTGGTTATCACAGAGTTTGTCGTCACACAGCCTCCCCAAGTGACCGAGATCATTGTCACTAGCACCATCACAGGCGGCACAGTCATCTACAGCAGTGTCTCTGGCGCGGTTACTCCTCCTCCCGCATACACCAGCCCCTTTACCAGCATTGCCACGATAACCAGCACCCTCACGATACCCGGTAGTGAAGATACATCTTACGGCACTTTCACCTCGGACGAGACTAAGACTGTCGTCACTACGATTGTTGAGGATGGTACCACAAGGACTGAATCGAGTCTCGTCACCCGACCGATTGTCAGCGCTTTCCCGAGTATTGGAGAGACGACTGCTGCTCCGAGTGTATATGTTTCGTATGGAAAGATTACCATCACGTCTGTTTATACTGTCCAGGATTCTATCAACGAAAACGGCAAGCAGAAACCCAACCAGGAGGAGAAGCCAAACCAGGGAAAGAAGCCAAACGAGGGAAAGAAGCCAAACGAGGGAGAGAAGCCCAATCAGGAGGAGAAGCCAAACCAGGAAGAGAAGCCCAACCAAGAGAAGCCTAACCAGCAAGAGAAGCCAACGGCAAAGCCCCAGCCAACTGAAAAGGTCATCAACGTTGTTACCGTGGATCCTGACCGAACTGTGAAGAAGGTTGAAAAGGTAGGCCCGGTAACCTATGTCACCAAGGTTCAGGAGAACGACGTCGAAACCTTGGTCATCTCGCCGGGCCGCGAGACTGTCGTCAGCAAGTTCGATGCTGTTGAAACCACCGTGAACGTCGTGGCCACAGCAGCAAACGGAGCATTGACTACGAACCAAGTCGTCCAGACAAAGGCCGCCTCCTATGCTACCTATGTGAAGCCTGTTGCACCCACGGCCGTTGTCAGCAAGGTCGAAGCTTATGAGACAACAGTCAATGTTGTGAAAACTGGTGCAGACGGCTTGTTAACCACGAACCAAGCTGTCGTGACAAAGGGCGCTTCTTATGTGGTCAAGCCTGCTCAACCTACTGCGGCATACGAAACTACGGTTGACGTTGTTACGACTGGTGCGGATGGTTTGCCAACGACAAACCAAGTTGTCAAGACGGTCCAGCCCGGAGAAATTGCTAGCGAGGCTGAAGCATACGTGACCACAGTCGACCTCGTCACGACTGGTGCTGATGGCTTGCCGACTACGAACCAAGTTGTCAAGACGGTTCAACCTGGCGAAATCATCAGCAAAGTTGAGGCATACGTGACTACTGTTGATGTTGTTACAACTGGTGCGGATGGCAAGCCCACAACGAACAAGGTTGTCATGACCAAGAGTGCGTCGTTGGTAACTATCGACAATGCTGCTGATAGCGAGGCTACAACCTTTGTCAGCTCAGTTGATGCTTTCGAGACCACTATAGATGTGGTTTCAACTGGTGCTGATGGGCTGCTTACGACTGGAAAAGTTGTAACAACGAAGAGTGCCTCGCTGGCTACGATTGTCAAGTCCGCCGATCCTTTCAAGCCCACGACAATTCTCATCACAAAGGGCACTGGCAAAGCCAAGCTCACGACGATTACCTCGGACCGCAAGGAGTCTTCGACATATGTCTCAACCATCAAAGGAACCACGAGGACGTATTCGAAAACGACAACTGTTCGTCCAACCGCCACAGATGAGTCTTCGACGGACGAGGATGGAGAAAAGGGGGGGACTGTCAAGACGGTCGTGACGGTGTACGAACTCGACGCTGGGAAATACTTTCTGGGAAAGTTTCTGCCTGCCATGTTGGCTGTCATGCTTTCTATCCCGGCGCGTGTTATCGACCTCAACGCTCAGCAGTATCAGCCATTCTACGCCTTGAACCGGCCGAACGGTGCTATGGGCCCTCAGTCGATGAACCTTCACTTCAGCGGCTGGACTGGTTTCTTGCAGCCTTTCAAGGTACTTTCTAATGGACATCCGGTGCCATTCATCAGCATGCTCATCGTCTGGTGTTCTGCGTTAATGGCGCCTACTGCCGTCGAGGCCATCGGCTTCAAGATGCACGGCAAGTGCAAGATCAACGCGTTTGAGGGATGTGCCCCAGCTCTGGGAGTGTCTCCACAGCCTACCCACTTGCTTCTAGCTCTCTTGGCGTTTACAATCGTCCTCCTCTGCTGTCTGCTCTTCTTCCTACGCAACTGGGACACGGGCTTGTACGCAAACCCCTGGAGCGTAGCTGGTATTGCCTCACTGGCGTCTAACCGAGAAATTCGACCGAAAAAGGCATCAGAGAACAAAATTGCAAAGGAAATGGCAGAGAAGCGATATGGATTTGGACTTTTCGAGAATCGAATGGGTCAGACTGAGTACGGCATCGTCTTATACGACGACGCGGGTGAAAATCTCCACGACGAGGGAACAGTATCCGACTCCAACTCTCTCGACTCGCACACAGCAGTCGGTGCGAAGAAGCGAAGACGAAATCCATTCATGGTCCTGGGACTTGCCTGGCGTCTTGTGTTTTTGGTGTTTTTGCTGGGCTTGATGGCTTTTCTGCTCTACTACCATCTCACACTCGACAAGCCGTTGAAGTCGTTTAGGAAGTTTATGAACAGCCAGACTTTTGGTGTGAGGTTCTTATTTGCTACTTTTGGTGTTATTATTTCGTTTAGTTGGACGGCATTCTTTAACAGTAAGCACACACTGACTTTTACTATGGGAGCTGTTGCTAACTGTGATAGGTATTGCCATGATTATGCCTTACCAGGTCATGTCTCGCGGTCCTCAGACTGCGGCAAACTCGGTACTTCTCACTCGTCCGACAAACGGTGTCTCTGGTTTCTGGTCGGCTATCAAGCACGGACAGCCGTTCCCAGCCATCGTTGCCATCATGAACATCCTATCCGAGTTCATGCCGATCCTCCTATCCAACATCCCCTACTCCCTCTCGCAAGTCAGGATAGCGCACGACATCTGCACCCACCTCTCGGTGGGCATCCTGTCAGCCATGGCCCTCACTATTATCAGCAGCTTTGTGGTTCGCTGGCCAGACATGCCGGTGGACCCTCGCTCTGTAGCCGGTGCGATGTACTATGTTAGTGAGAGTGTCATGGTGGATCACTTTAGTGGTATGGCGAGCATGGACAACAAGGAGCGTGAGAGGCGTATCCGGGAACTCGGAGGCACATACATGTACGGCGAGTTGACGACGAGGACAGGCGAGAAGAGGCCTGCTGTTGAGTGGGACGACCGCACGCTGGGGATTATACCTACGGTACCGCAGCATCCGATGGAGGGTGTGCATATGAGGGATGATACACATGCGAGGATGGAGGGTGTTGATACGGCGTATCATGGTTTTCAAGGGGGGGCGGTGCATACTTGACGGTGTTTTCATGCATTGGTTTGAACTGGTTGGGAGGGGGTAATGAACATAGAAGGGAATTGCATATAGAAATGAGAAACTGATGATGATTGGATATGTTACACAATAGGAGTAATGTTTGATGGAGTTGGGCTGATGGATGGAGTGCCAGAATTTGGAAGAAAGGAGGTGACGCTTTACGAGCAAATTAACAGCCAACTCAGAAAACGGAATCAATCAATAATCGTGATAGAGATTTTACTTGCTTATTCTTTTACTTGGATGCCAAGAGTGAGGCTTTACGGGGATCTGAAATTCCTTGATCGAATCAATCCTCCAACTCGGGGTATCTCCGCCAGATGCCGTCCCCGTATGCCTGGCGTCTGTCGCTCGCCAGATACTTGGCAATGTTGGGCCTGGTCTTGACCTCCGCATACAACTTGAAGACGCCGTCATACTTGCCAGACTGCTCCAGTGCCTGGACTGACTTGGGGAAGGCAAATGCCGTGCCATCAACACACTACAGAGTTAGCACTGATAGTAATATGGTTAACGTGTTTCTTACCTGGAATAGCACCAGATCCACATAAGTCAGGCTGTCGCCGTACAACCATGGGCCTTGGCCGCTGGTCTTTGCTTCGAGAAGTCGTTGCATGTAGCCAAAGAACTTGGGGAGGCGTTCCTTGATGAAATACTTGGCCCGCTTCTTGGCTTCCTCCTTCTGATCTTCATAGTACAGGCCGACGGCGATGGGATGGTGAGTATCGTGAATCTCGTTGACAAGACCGTCGATGATGGTTAGAGAGATCTGGTTAAGGTGATAGACGGCGTCACCCTCCTTAGGGGCCAGACCAAGCTTTGGGGCAAGGTAGAGGAGGATGTTGGGCAGTTGGTTGATAAGCAAATCACCATGTTTGAGAATGGGAGGCGCCAAAAGAGGAGGGTTGTGAGCATCACCACGGCTCTCAGCTGAGATGTGGCTCAAGACAGCGGGGACAGCCTTGTCAGGCGTTTGTGCAATGTCCGAGTAGGGGACGCCAGCTTCCTCAAACAAGAGGCGGACAAATTCACCGCGGCCAGGAAGACCGGGCCAGTAGATGAGTTCATACTCTGGTTGAGACATGATGAAGTGAAGCTGTCACGATGGTGTCTTGAGGAGTAAAATGTGAAGACGAATAATGACGGAGAGCTTGACTCTTTATTGAGAGGTGGGGTTACTCCTTCCACGACCAGTAAGCAATGCACGTTGGTCTTCCCTGCGGGCTATAGATTCTGCCGAAGCTGACAAGGCATAATCCATTGTTTTTCATCCCACCGACAAGCCGAACGAATCGAGTGATTGTGACTATGAAATCGTGCATCTTACGGCTCGTCGGCCGGAAGGCGGGGCGGGGGCGGGGGGAGCTGTTGGGGACAATGATATCATTGTGGTGTGGAAGGCTCGTGATGGCAGGACAACAATGGAGTTTGTGAAGCAGGAATGGAGAGAGAGGTGTTTAGAGCTGGAGACGAGCTCTAGAATACTATCGATGCATTATTCGAGTGCCAAGCTTGCCTGGATCTATCTGTGATCCTACATAGGTACCCAGTAACCCAGGTGCCCTGGAAACCGATACGGAGCTTGAACCGGGCGGCTATCAAGTTCTATTTGGCAGGGTTCTCCCAAGGCCAGAATTGGTGGTTATAGCTGCACCCTGTATTCATGAATCATGAACCCAAGATTCAGACCGTTCTCGAGCTCATGTAAGTAGAAACTATTCTATTTCAACTTCAAGAAATAGAAACAGAGCTCTCTAGCTTATCAGCTCAAGCTTGGGAGCTTGCTCATCCCCGCGTTTGAGGCTTGCCCCACTGGAACTCCAACCATTCCGCCTGGGTTACTAGGTGAGATAGCTCGCCATAGTGGAGCCTGATCACTATCGCACCTCAAAGCGACCTCCCCCACCTCCCGGTAACATCCCCCATCTTCCTCCAACTCATAACCATCTCATTCTTTCATCCCTCATCGACCATTGTTCAGCCTCACGTAGAGCAGAAACAATGGACGAAAAGGTTGGCCTCCCGCCTTACAGCTCCCTCACGTTACCTCCGCCTGCAGGCGTCTACCCTGTTCAATCGCGAGGTAGACGTTCTGTACGCCGATCACGCGCTCTCAGACTCTTTGCTCTAGCGTGTCTTGTCTTTATTGTTTTTGCGCAATGGCGGCAGATTGGATCTCGGAAAGTGACTACGCTTTCACTCAAGAAGCTCAATGAAGATCTCGAGACTTGCAAGAAGCTCCGTGCCAAGCCTCAGGACCCTCCCGGCCTCGGCCGCGATAAGAACGCTCGATATATCGACGGTGGCAAGCCCACATTGATCAAGAACGCGACAATCTGGGTGGGCGAGCCTGCTGAGGGCACCAGCGAAGACGATGCGCGAGCTGGAAAGGGTTGGGAGTGGGTGTCAGGCGACGTCTTTGTCGAGAAGGGTCTCATTCAGCGCGTTGATAAGGATATCCTACTTTCATCGCTACCTGATGATACTGTTGTTTACGATGCTCGCGGCCGACGTCTCACAAGCGGTATCATCGACATGCACAGCCATGTCGGTGTGTACCCTCTCCCTTCGCTGGACGGCAACTCGGATGGCAATGAAATGTCGGACAACATTACGCCTTGGGCCCGCGCTATAGATTCGTTCTATCCCTTTGACCCTCAGCTTCAAGTCATCAAGTCTGGAGGAGTCACTACCTCGCTCGTGCTCCCCGGTTCTGGCAACAACATTGGCGGAGAGGCATATGTCATCAAGCATGCCCTGGGAAAAAAGGACGGCCGCAAGGAGATTAGTGCCGAGGATCTGCTGGCTGATCCGGATCGCAACTGGCGATACATGAAGATGGCATGCGGCGAGAACGCCAAGCGCGTCCACGGCCGTGTTGGGAACAGGCCATTCAGCCGTATGGGTGAAAGCTACGAATTCCGACATGCCTTTGAGCGAGCGAGCGAGTTGGTTCAGAAGCAGGATGATTGGTGCAACAAGGCCGAAACTCTGGGCGTTGAAGCCTTGGATGAGTATCTTCCGCAAGAGATTGCCTGGGAAGCCCTCGGTGCTGCTCTTCGCGGACAGGTCCACATCAACACCCATTGCTATACCGTTCCTGACTTGGAGGCCATGGTGGACCATACCAACGAGTTCAAGTTTCCAGTTCGAGCCTTCCACCATGCTCACCAAACCTATCTAGTACCAGAGGTGAGCATACTTGAGTGGCTTCTAGGACTTTGCTAATGAGACCCAGATCCTCAAGCGAACATGGGGTGGACGACCTCCTGCTGCTGCCCTGTTCGCTGACAATATGTACTACAAGATGGAGGCCTATATCGGTTCTGAGTATGCTGGCAAGATCCTCTACGAGAACAACCTCACTTCCGTATATGTTAGCGATAACCCTGTCCTCAACGCCCAACATGTCCTCTTTGAGGCAGCCAAGGCGTATCACTATGGTCTCCCCTACCACGCCGCACTGGCAGGCGTTACGTCTGCCCCGGCTGATCTCCTTGGCCTTGGCAAGCGCCTTGGAAAGGTCAAGCCTGGCTTTGATGCCGATATTGCCGTTTGGGACAGCGATCCTCTAAGCGTGGGTGCGGCTCCCGTGCAGGTTTGGATCGATGGTACGGCACAATTCGAAGACCCCGTCGAACTTTCGAAGTCGGCAGAGGCAAAGGCGCTTAACGACATTCCGGCCGAGATCATTGAGGAGCCCACACAGCTCGACAGTGTGCTCTTTACGGGCATCACCAAGATGTTCCTTGACAAGGACAGGTTTTACGAGTCTGAGGGAACCCCATTTAACGTGGTCATCTCAAAGGGCAAGATCTCGTGCATTGGAAATTGCGACGCCGAGTTTGATGCAGCGACCGCAACTGGCGCAAAGACCATTGCTCTTGAAAATGGTTACTTGACGCGCGCGTTTACTGCAGTGGCCGGTACGCTCGGTCTCAACGCCATTGACGCGGAGTCCACGACAGACAACGGGCCCAACCCGGTGGTCTTCTCCAGGGCTGTCGATGGACTCATGCTCGACACGAAGAAGCTGCATGTTGCAGCTCGATACGGCGTCACCAGGGCAATCTCGGCACCGACATATTCGGGCGGTGCTACACACTTTGGCACCAGTGTTGGCTTCGTGACATCGGCGCTGACGAGCCTTGAAGAGGGAGCCGTGTTTGCCTCTGATCTGGCCGTTCACTATACCCTGGACGTGAACGTACGGTCGGCGACAAGCTATTCGGCGGCTTTTGGGGCCTTGAGAACCAAGCTCCTAACAGCTGTGACTTCAACGGATCCCGTCCTGAACTCATTTTCTGAGGAGGCATACCTCAAGAAGGTGGTGAATGGAGAGCGAGTCTTGGCCCTTACAATCAACGGTGCAGACGGAATTGCGACGGCTCTCAAGATCAAGTCGGAGGTTGAGGATGTCCTTCTCGAGGCTGGGGTGGCGGGCTCCGTGCAGCGTATCAAGGTGGCCATTATTGGAGGCGCTGAAGCTCACCTCGTGGCCAAGGAACTTGCAGAGGCGGGTGTTGGTGTCATTCTGTCGCAACTGCAGTCATTGGGCGATACCTGGGACTCTCGCCGAGTCCTGACTGGCGCTCCTCTCACTAACGGTACAACCATCGATGCGCTCCTCGATGCTGGCGTTCAGGCGGCGATTGGTCTTCGTGAGGATTGGCAGCTGCGAGATCTTGGATTTGCCGCTGGAACGGCGTACAAGAACAGCGGTGGTCGACTCAACGAGAAGGACGCGCTTGATCTTGTGAGCACCAATATTTACCGGATCCTTGGAGCTGAGGCCGGAACGACGGATGACATTGGCCACTTCATGGTCAGTGAAGGTAGTCCGCTTGAGATTGGGTCTCGAATCAAGGCGATTGGATCAGGCAAGAGTCAAGTTTCGGTGTTTGTGTAAGGGTCCAAGAGGCGACTTTCTCGCATTTTGGATATTAGAGTTTAATATAGCTGCAGTAATATTACCAAGCTGCCGGGTTATAATATTGGATCCATTAGAGGCGAGACTCATCATGAGACTTTACGGTTCAAGTTCCGAGTCGACGATACGAATATTGAGGGATTACAAATACCCGCAGCCTCAAAAGTGGAGACTCGCGCGCGGGTAATGACCAAGTCAGCGCGCGGCCCCGTATCTCATGTCAATTGACCAATAGGCGTCGACACTGTTCAGATTTTCCCGGCTGATGGCTTCGGAAATGGAAAGACGGAATAGGGAAGTGGGAGGAAGGTGGACCCCACAAGACATGATGGTTGGGATATCATGGGGGGAATAAAAGGCAGCTGAGTCCCCGCCAGATTGAAGTTGTAGACAGACTTGGTATAAGAGATTTGAGTTACTAGTCAATGCGGAATTGGACTGCTCCAAGACGCATCCTCGCGACAATCAGTAAAACGACTTCACTTCGACAACTACACACAACTACTGCAATGGCCAAGGTAGCGCCTGTTGTTGCCCTGTCGCATGGCGGAGGTGAGTTTCCTTTTACTACAACATGAATATGGCATGTAACTAACTCTTCCAGGCCCTATGCCCCTCCTCGACGACCCTAGCCACAAGGACATCATCTACTCTCTCAAGAACCGCGTACCCAAGATTCTCAAGCTGGGCACCCCGGAACAGCCCCGCGCCATCGTCCTCGTCACAGCTCACTGGTCCACCGACAAGCCCACCATCTCATCCGGCGCATCGCATCGTCTGCTGTACGATTACTATGGTTTCCCCCGCGAGACATATTCCCTCAAGTACCCAGCCCCAGGACATCCCGAGGTGGCCCGTGAGGTTGCGGATGCTCTCAAGGAGGAAGGTCTCGAGCCTGAGCTAGACGATGAGCGTGGCTGGGATCACGGCGTCTTTATTCCTCTGCTTCTCGTCAACCCCAAGGCCGATGTCCCCGTGGTGCAAATGTCGGTTCTTGAGTCTGAAGACCCTGAGCAACACCTTCGTATGGGTAAGGCGCTAGCCCGTCTCCGAGCCAGCAACGTCGCCATCATCGGCTCCGGCTTCGCAAGCTTTCACAACCTTGGCATCATGCGACAGCTTATGATGGCCGGACCTTCTCAGCGCGCTCAGTTCCGAGGTGTAAGCGATGCATGGAACAGGGCCCTTACCGACGCGACAGTCAGCAAGGACAGGAATGAGGCTCTCAAAGGGTGGCGCAAGTTTCCTCACGCAGATACCATGCACCCACCTCACGGAGGCGAACACTTTATGCCGCTGCTCGTATGCGCCGGTGCTGCGGTGGAGGGTGAAGAGACGGGGAGGTATAGCGATGAGTTTGCGGGGGTTGAGATTAATACCTATTACTGGGGTGCCGACAAGAACGGGAACCTATAGAGATTTTGCATTTGGTGTTTGAATAAGGTAATTTTATAGCGATTCATATGGTTTCAAATACCAAGACATGTTTAAACCCACTTTATCCTGACCCGCTGCCGTCATTCATGGGCTTGGCTTGTGTTGCTGACGTCAAGACAAGAAACGACAAGATTATTTGATCCGGGAATTAGCTCTTGGACTTCTTGGCAAGAAGTATATAGTTCCGTCGATGCCGAAGTTCAAGTTGTTCAAACTAAACACAATCACCATGGCTCAACACTTTAAACCAACCATCGACGCAGACGTCGTCAAGGTCTTTGTCCTAGAGACTGACCAACCTCATCCCAATACTCAGGCTGAGCAAGGGTCCTTTGGACAGATTTTGCATCATCACTTTTGCAAGGCTGGTGCTGATCATCATCCTCCCCTTGGTGTTGAGACGGAGCAGGTCTTTGTTGTTACTGAGGAAGGTGGTCGAATGCCCAAGGTTGAGGAGTTTGATCTTTATGATGGACTTTTAATCACGGGGAGCATGTATGACGCCTACGGTGATAATCCGTGGATTTTGGAATTGCTGGACCTTTTGAAGCGTAAGATTCACTCAATTTTTGAAGTCGTCACTCATAATAACTATCTTGATATAGAACTATGGACAAAACGCCCCGATTTTCACTTCACAGGCGTCTGCTTCGGCCACCAGCTCCTCTCACGTCTCCTCGGCGGTAAAGTCGGCCCCTCACCCACAAACGATTGGGAGTTGGGCCACAACGCCATCACACTCACACCCGTGGGCAAGCGTCTTTTCCGCACTCACGAAGATGAAGTGTATCTCCACCAAATGCACCAAGACCAAGTTCTTGAACCCCCGATCCCAAACAAGTCCAACGGTCTTCTCGACTCAGAGGTGGATGTACATGTCTGGGGGAAGAGTGACCACACGGCTGTGCAAGGGTTGTACATCCCGAATAGGTTGTTTACGACACAGGCGCATCTTGCTTTTGATGAGGATATGGTGAAGAGACAGATTCAGATGAGGGTGGATAGTGGGGGGATTCAGGATCTTGAACATGCGGATCAAGCGGCTGAGACTGCACATCTTGAACATGATGGGATGGAGGTTGCCGCGGCGATTCTTAGATTGTTTAGATATGATGATGACGGAATGGAGTGGTAGAAGCGCGTCTAACGCAAACCATGTTGTAGAAGGCAAGACAGGAGTCTTTGAATCATGGGCCTCATTGTGAAGATGGGACGCAAGGCTGATTGTGTAAAGAAACTATGGCAGCGCGTTCATCGTGTTTTGACTGTGTATATGTCCCACCATGGGAAACTAAAAGACACGCCCAGCCCGACGAGGAGTATCACGGACATCCACTCCGTCTCGGAGAAGCTCAGACTTTGTGGTCCGATTGCAGTTTCGAGCGGTCTTGCGTATGTATTCTTTGATCGATCCAGTCATTTCTCGACAGGCAGTATAGCTTCGGGCATTTCGTCAAAGCATCGTCGGCGTTCTTGATAGTCTTTCCACGTCTCATTGGTTAACTTGAACCGGTTGGTGTTCATCAGGCTCACGTCTTCTATGAGTTTTTCGGTCTTATCTTGGCCCTGGAAGTAAATGAATTGACATGGAAAACTGGGCCGAGAAGTTGATAGCATGCTTGTATCTATTCTCACCCGGCATCGTTTCGCCAGGTGCATGGAGGGCAAGTGCGAAGTCTCTGACTGTCGCTGATATATAAAGACGCACTGTCTGGCGCGAATTGTCCGGAGTGTGACAAGACAGATTTCTTGGCGTCATGCCTTTCATCATGAGGATTAGATGAAGGGGGAAAATGTTGCCATCCATGGGGATTCGACGGTATATATCCCTCCACGGGAACCCGAAAGACAAGCCCAGCCCGACGCAGATTGACCTGGCTCTGGTATTCCATTGACTTCGTGGTAGAAGTTCAGGGCTTGTTCGCGGCGCCTCCCCAGAGAACTTCTGCGTATGCCCTCAAGTCGACTCAGTCTACGAAGCCACCGTCCTCGAGTGCCAGATCAATGAGAAAAATCACGTCCTCAATTATTCGGACGCTTTCCAGCGGAGGAAGTTGATCGATATGGAGAAACGGGCCAAGAAGCTGATGGCATGAGGATTTTCATTCCCAATTTCCAGTTCTTCCATTCGAAAGCATCGGACAAGTATGAAACTGATGTCTCTTCCTTGATATATATAGTCGGATAAACTGTGCAAACGTCTGTGTGCGTTATTGCTTGTAGCAAAGTCAGTCGCTTTGGCGAATTCTTGAATCGGTCTCTCTGCTGCTGTCAGAGGGCCGAGGTGAATCTATTCATTTGCGTTTGTTTGAATCTTGGCTCTCTCGCATCAGCCAGTCGAAAGCTATTTCGATGAACGTCCTGAAGTAGCGACATAGCGTGCTTTGATCATTGGCTGCCGATGTACTTGCTACAAGCGGTTGTAGCTGTCCCAATTCTCTTCAGAGGAGCTCCAGTATCTTCAACGAGAAAATATCGGCCAAGAATTTGTCTTCGTGGCTACCAAGGTAACTTGATGTGGCAGTGCTTTTCGGTAGAGTTGTTTTGTCCACTTTCTGTTGAGCCCGGAGGCTCTCTTTGGAGGATGGCCCACAAGGAGACCTTTGGACCAGGTCCTTTCTCTGTCGGCTCTTGCTCTGGCTGGTCACTCTCTCAGAGCATGTTGCAATATATACAAGTCCCTTTATTTGCTCGAAATAACTCTGCGCGGAGTTCTTTACTTGCTCTTGAGCATAGTCCAGATGATTCCGTCGCGCGTCTCAAGAAAGAACAAGAGGCAGCCCGTAGTAACGGCACACGTGATATATATAAACTCTTTTACGTCGATAGCCGAATGTATGTGTTGTCCGATTCGGTGTCAGAAGTGATGGAGAGAGGAGAGGGAAGCTCCACGAGGTAGTACAAGGTGTTTTTACCTTTCAAGGCCAACAACACCAAGAAGCGATATGATTCGGGTTCTATAGTGCTGGTATATATATTGGATCTTCAGTCCAGCTCAGCTCTGCAATTATCCATATGGGCTTTCGGGCTTGTTAATCTCATGCCGTGTCGTAAGATTCTGTCAAGTCCCCTCCTGACAATCGAGGTGATTCAAGGTGCGAATGGTTAAGGTACTCAGCCGGCAACATGCTCAAGGTCTCCTGGGTGCAGCATTCCATAGTGCCGTCATGTCCAAGACCCATTGTGATACGGTGCCGTTATTGGTGGCGGCGTTGTTTGCCCATTTCTTGGGTCCGTTTCTGATATCTCTCTCTTGAGACTGTCTCTTTCGTCTTCGGCCCATTCTGCCAACAGGAAGGGAGCAACCAAGTCACGGGCTGGCACATGACTGGTCACGGCTGCGATAAACTCATATATCGCAGGCGTATTCATGCTCTTGGAGGCCAGCATGAAGCTAATGTCATATGAGAAAAGCGACCTTCGTGGTCAGAGACTTTCTGGTGCTTGGGCAACGTCGAGAGCAGGTAGGCCAGTGACCGCCAGTTGAGGTTTTGGCGTCGGATGAATGACAGTTCTCAGTAAGGTCCGGGTCCGAATCGACGAGTGCTGGTCTCAAGCATCATCAAACCTCACGAGATGTGCGTTGGAGATGTCATTCAACCATGACAGCCTCCCAACCAAGAGCCTATATGAACTCTGGATCAACTGCGAATGCAAATGTAGCAGCAACCGATGGCCCGAGATGTCATCGGCGTCGAGGTCAGAGAGTCTGTCAACGGCAATATCTCTGAAGGGTGCTGGCTTCATGAAAACAGCTATTCAGGCCGAAAGCGCAACAACCTCTGTAGCCTTAGACGTGGACAAGCCAGGACAGTCGACAGTTGATGTCGTCTTGGTATATATATGCAGGAATGGATGTCTGCGTCGGGACTTTGCGAAGAGGTGCATCTGGTTGCTGTGTATCAAGCCTACACCTGAGACAACAATGGTTCTCTCGTGGGTCTGTCGTGATGGGAAGTGAGTCAGACCAGTCTGACTTGGGGTAGACAAGTCGATCTATATATAGAGAAATTGTACACTGCGGATAAATCGTACGCCTAGAACGTAGTCCAGAGAGACACCCGTATGCTCTTGTCCACAGCTCTGAGAGCATCAAAAGAAAAGCATGGCCCGAATGGTGAAGTGCCGGGAAAGTAATATGAGGGGCGATTGTTGCGGGCCACTTGATTGATGCAGCAAAGTATCTTGGTATCTCTGCCAGGGAGGTACCACGGTAGTGAGATTGAGGGTCACCTCGCCAAGAATTCGTAGTGATTGTCAAAAAGATTGGCGATATCCGATGCCAAATGGTGAGGTTCCATGACTTTCGCTCATCAGATACCCCTGGTTCGTGCTTCCTGTCGAGCTTATCGTGATCATAAGCTCGAGAGCAATTTCATGCTTTTTGGTGAAATCAAGTCCTTTATATAGAGTGTCTTGAAATGGTGGGCGAGCATATCCTCCATATCGCATCGCATTTACGAGGAGAATGTGAAGTAGTATCAAGAAAGAACTGAAGGTTCTTAGGGGAGCACCAGTTGCCTACGTTGAAATCGGCGGGTAGTTCCCTATCCTCTCTTCCAGAAGAAAAGTCTGGGCTAGCCAAGTCTTCAGGTCGGATTAGTTTCCAGTAGATACCGAGGTAGATCGTGTCGTTTCTCCGAAAACGAGGCCCGGCAACGCCCTTGCTGGGCGATCAGACTGTCTTTTTCATCTGCGAACCATTGTACAAACTCCGACTAATTAGCACAGGCCATTGTAGAGCAGCGAGACTCGCGGAGGTATATAGTTCGATGGAGCGGAGTTGTTCCGCAAAGCTAGGTGTCGGGCGATGCTTGTTGACTCCAGAGCTGTTTCGTACGAGGTGTGACGGATGAAGTGCAGGCCGTCAAAAGGCGCTGTTGGAGGTATATATAAGTTGAAGGAGTGACGTGACCCAATTGTGCCAATTCCCGAATGTGTTCGTGAAATCCGTCCAGCGCAAAACATGTTTCATGCAT